TTTTCAGTCAAAAAGTATACCAACACCTAAGCTTTTCTACTTACAAAACATACAAATTTCATGAGGAAGTAGATAACCTGAATCGGATGTCAATGAAATCACTAACCGGAATGTTTCACCTGTGTTTATTGGGAACTGATGCTGAAGAGAAATCTGTCCATTTTGTAGCCTACAAACAGAACTTTACCTTTTCTTCTTATAAGCAAGGATTACCTATTGAGGTAAAAACCGACAAGTAGGTAAAATTTTGTCTGGTAAATCAAAGAAGTAATAAGTTAACATTCAAAACCCACCATGTTTTCTTGCACAAGGGAAATGCACATATTTATTGTCCACGTTGATAGCTGCACCCGTATTTTTGCATATCCAGCAAGTCTGAAGCGCTGTTTTTTCATTTCAGGTTTTTACGACACGAATACAGTTTTCTCACAAAACACTGCATTCCTAAACCAAATCCGTAGCATACCTGTTTCCAAAATTGATGCAATTTCTCTTCTAAATTCGTCAACTGGTTCCCCTTCATTTGTACATCGGGAGCCCACAGTATGCAATCACCATGAAACCAGACATCTATGCAGTACGTCTCCGCTTTCGACAGCTGCAAGAAACGGGTTCGAAAATTGCTTGGATGACTGTTAATGATTGTGAGTAGCTGTGAAGCGTAGATGAGACTTTAAACTTAATTGTTAACGTCTAGTTGATTCTTTTATATTTTTAGTGCTGGATTTTTGCATAAACTCACGTCAGACTTGCACTCGCTTCTAGGATCACCTCCTACTTCGGATTAAGATGCTTGCCCAACGTGCTGGCAGTTTACTGTACCAGCAACAAGTTAGAATGTTTCTGATCATTATTCTCACAATTCATAGATCACTGTTCGATAAATTCCAATTTACGTCACGACGTTGCCTACCAGCGAATACTAATCCATGCAAAGAACTTCCAGAAAAATTTTTGATAAGAAAAGCGAGGACCTGATTGACACCTCTGCACAGGTGACAACAAAAAGTCTCTCCCAGCTGATCGACATACATCAATCCAGGATGCGATAACTCTTCTGCATAAAAGAGGGCCTAGCCAAGGACTCGGCACGAATAACAACGATGAAGTTGTTAGCCGGCATCGCCCTTCTGGGGCTGGCCCTCGCCTCAACGTTCACATGGAACCACACACCTCGAATCGAAGAGGAGGTATTCCGCACAGAACGCGAGTACCGCTACCTCTTCGACGGCCAGGTCACCACTGGCCTCGCTCTGCCCAACACCGAACAGTCCGCCACTCGAATCCAGGCCGTTGTGATCTTGCAACCTGTCGATGAGCGCATGTTCCTCTTCCAGCTGAATGAGATCCGCTTCGGAACGATCCAGGAGGAGCTCATGAAAACACACAAGCTACTGCCTTTTGAGCGCTACCAGCTTGTGAAGCTTGATGAGGAACTCAAGGAGATGCTCAAGATGCCTATCAGATTTGTGTACAAACACGGACTGGTCAGCGACATCGAGTTCTCTGAGGAAGACAAGCCATGGTCTGTCAACATCAAGAAGGCCATCATCAACATGCTCCAAGTACGCTTGATCGTTGATTTCTGAACAACTTCTTCGAAGTTCTTATTTTCAGATCAATCTCCTGAAGAGAGATGAGACCACCACTGAGCGTGAGGTCGAGACTGAGAACAAGAACTATTTCACTACTGTTGAGGTAGATGAAGAACAACATAACTTCCGATTGCACAGCTTACAAGCTTCTCTTATGTTCAGCGTACCCTCGAGGGCGAATGCGAAGTCGAGTACACTGCTGTCCCAACAGAGACCGAAAAGATGCTCTGGACCAAATCTATCAACTTCCAGAAATGCACCGTCCGTCCAGAGGTCAGCTTCCATAGGTGATCACAAACGGCCGCTGACCTGATTTTTCATTTTCCAGGTCCAATATGGCATCATCATGCGAGACATGAAGAAGACCTATGACGAGAAACTGTTCAGCACCGTCATGAGGTTCGAAGTGACGGGCAACCATGATGAGTATCTCGTCCGCGAAGTAGAACTCGAGTCCCGCTATAAGCTGATTCCACTTTCTGAGAAGCACGAACTCATCACTTCCTTCGTCTACAACAAAATGACGCTCATCTACGCAGGACGTGTAGAGACCGAAATCCCGAAAGTTCAAGTCCACCGTCGCGAGACTCTCATCTACAACTCACAATGGGAAATTGCCGAAGAGAAGTTTGCCATGACCGGGGATGAGAAGTATCTCTACCTCGTTCCCAAATGGAAGAACAAGATGGAGCACATTGAGAAGATCATTAAGACCATGATGCGCCACATGGAAGAGAAGGTTGACCTCGAGACCACTCATCTCTTCGCCCGTCTTGTCAAGCTGCTTCGTCTCTGCACTGAGCCAGAACTCGTGAAGATCGAGCACTTCTTGCACGGACACGAGAATGTTCACCGCAAAATCCTCTCCATCTACCATGACGCCCTAGCCATTGCTGGAACCAGGGTGACTGTCACCTACCTCATGACCAAGATCACAGAAGAGAAGATCGAGCATCTGGAGGCAGCTAACCTGCTCAAAGCCCTAGCCGAAGTGCGCATTCCATCTGAGCACATCGCCAATGAGGTTCTTCGCGTCTGCGAATGCCCCGTCGCCGAGAAGGTGCCTTATCTGAAGCAGTCCTGCTGGCTCACCTACGGTGCCATCTTCCACGGACTTTGCAACAACAATATGCTGGCTATGCTGCGCAAAGAGAAGGTGTGCACCCGCGAGATCAAGGAGAGATTCGTCCGCAAGATGATCGACATGTTCGAGAAGGTTGACACCCGCTACGAGAAAGTGCTGATGCTCAAGACCCTTGCCAACGCTGGAATTGACATCTCCGTCTTCGAACTTGAAAAGATCATCTATAACACTGAGCTCGAGAGAACGGTCAGAATCGAGGCCATCAACGCTCTTCGAAGACTTCGCTACACCATGCCGCGCAAGATCCAGAGCATCATGATGCCGATCTACAAGAATCACCTCGAGATTGACGAGATTCGTATGATTGCTCTGCGCAGAATCCTTGAGACCAAACCAGATCAGGTAGTAATTGACCAGATCGTGCGCAAGATGGAAGTCGAGCGCGACCAGCAGCTGCGCGCCTACACCTACCGCACTCTCAAGACAATCAGTGAATTCCCAGAAATCCACGAACACACCGTCCGATGCGTCAGGAAGGCTCTCAAGACTGTCGACCATGAATTCTATGAGCGCCTGTACAACCGTGTCTTCCGCTGGACTGTGAGAAACATCGAAAAGAGGTATGGTGTCTCCATGACCATGCACAACCTTTTCACGAAGGACAGTGTGCTGCCTAAAGAGCTGATCACTACCCTCGACACTATTCTTGGTGGAGAGTGGTACAAGCACTTCTTGGAGCTTGGAATCACTCAGCAGAATGTAGATGAGATCCTGAACAAGCTCCTGCACAAAGTCGAAGATATGGACATGGAGAAGCTCGTCGTCCGTGGTGAACGATCCACGACATCCTTTGCCCCTACTGAGATCTTCAAGCGCATCTACGACAAGCTCCACTTTGTCAGACGCCATCATGACAAGGAGGAACCACACATGATGCTGTACATCCGCTACAAGGACATGGACTACGCATTCCTGCCCATCGACGTTGACACTATTCCCAAGTTCTACAAGGAGATGATTCGTGATGGAAAGCTTGAGCTTGACGAGATTGAGCGTCTGTTGGCCACTGGAACTCACTTCAGCAAGACTGGTGCATTCTTCTTCTACGAATACGTAAGGAAGATCCCAACTACTCTTGGTATGCCACTTGTGCTAACATCGAAGATGCCCACTGTTGGAACAATTCACGGCCAGATCAAGATCGAAATGGAACCAAAAGAGTCGAGGACCTTCGACGGACTTCGCCTTCATCTGATCCTCAAGCCCAAAGTAGCCACCACCCACGTTGTCATGGCCACCATCATGCACCCAGTTGTTGAGACTGGATTCAAGATGCTGCACTCAGTTATGTTCGAGCACCCGATCGAGACCGAGACCGAGGTTACCTGGAGACATCAGCTCCGTCTCAAAACCGTCTTCCGCCCGGTAGAGCGCAAGACGAATGTTCTTCACCTACAGACACGCCCAGTGATCTTCGTCCGCCACATGAAGAAGGTTACGCACGCTTACCTCGAACCGAGGGAAGTCACTCTTCGCCTGCGCGAACACCTCTACCCAGTCATGACATTCGAAAACACCTTCCTGGAGAGATTCGGACATAAGATCATTGTTACCGGCACCATGCATCGTCCGATTGTCCGAAGAATGGAGAGCATGCTGCATCCTATTCTATTCGGATACAACACCGTCGACGTCCTTATCGAACCCACCGAGGACTTCGCAAAGGAAATCGTCTTAAATATGGAAATGGAGGCGTTCGTTCCAGAAAGACTAGAGGGACCCAAGTTCGAGAAACTGTTCAGACACAACGATGAGTTCTTCGAGGAGGAAGAGATGGAGCCGAGACATAGAGAAGAACGCAGGAACGAGCTCACAACTTACCTGAGGGACTACCACATTGAGAAGGCCTACCGACATCGCCTCTTCTGCAAACTCGAGACTTTCGGTCAGCGTGAGAAGCATGAGGCTGAGATGGAGCTGAAGGCCGTCTGTGACCACAAGTACCGCTACTGCCGCACAAACTTCTTCCTTCGCCGAACTCCATTCCTCGAGAGAGAGACACGCCACTGGGAGCTGAGAATTGAAGCTCAGACTGTCTATCCTGAAATGCCAAAGACCATCGAGGAGCTGAAGAAGATGTTCAACCGTGAGTTCCACGGACTCGTCGACGTTACTTGGGGAACCGAGCGCAGGAACACACTGTTCATTCGCATGCAGAGTGAGCCGACCCCCGAACAAAAAATGTGGATGGAGAACTTCGAGCGCAAAGAGAACATGTTGACCGAAATGGAAAAGCTTAGAATTGCCTCGGACCGCAATCTGCACAAGGTCATGGTCAAGTACGAACTCATTCCCGAGACTGAGCACTTCTTGCACAACCTGTTCATGTTCCTCGAGACCTGGAACATGTGGAACACCGAGTACAAGATGGTCCCTCACGAGCACAAGATGCTTCGCCTGCAGCTCGAGATCGAACCACTGTACCGCCGCACATTCGACCTACTTGTTGAGACTCCCGAGAAGCGCATCGTGATGAAGAATCTGATGCTTCCGTTTGTGCTGCCCACTCTGAACATTCATGACATGCGCATGCTTGAAAATGTCGGCGTCAAGGATGTCATCCGCCATGTCGTCAAGCACAACCGCCCTGAGTGCATTGTCAAGAGTTGGGAAGTAAAGACCTTCGACAAACTTCGTCTCAAGACCCCTCTCAGCACCTGTTACACCATCCTGGCTAAGGACTGCCACTCGGAAGAGCCGCGCTTTGTTGTCATGATGAAGAAGATGGTGAAGGATCGTGAAGAGAAGGCGCTCAAGATTGTCACGCCTCGTGATGTCTATGTGCTGGAGATGATCAATGACGAGCTGGTGATCAAAGTGAACGGCAAGGTGATCAACCACGAGGAGCTAATGAAGTACAGAATCGAGAAGATGGAAGAGAATCTCTACAAGATCGACATCGAGGACGTTGTTGTGCTGTTCGACGGATACGAGTGCAACATCAAACTCGCGCACATGTACAAGAACATGCAGTGCGGAATTTGTGGACACTACGACGGAGAGGTAAGGAACTGGTTAGCCTTTCTTGGCTAAACTCTAACGAAAAATATTTTCAGAAGTGGAACGATCTCCGCCGCGCCGACAATGAGGAGACCGAGATGGTTGAGGACTTCCACCGCAGCTACATCGCTAAGGATGAGAAGTGCGATATCGATGAGGTCGAACTCAAGAAGGAGCATAACCACCGTCTCGAGAAGGATTTGAGAGAGCGCAACTATCGCCTTAGGGAAGAGGACGAACTCTGGGACGAATATCGTGTAGACAGACGACGACATGAAGATAGGAAAGAGATGAAAGAAAAGAAAGAGCGCTTCGAGGAGGAGAGGTACATGACCAACTATGAAGAGGAAGTCGAGCGCAGTAAGTGCTTTTAATCACTGAATCTTTTTTAATCACTGAATCTTCTGATAGCAGTGTGATAGCGGCAAAATTTCAGAGCCCGTCCTTCGCACTCGTGTCATCGAGCGTGAACGCCATGTCTGCTTCTCTGTTGAGCCTGTTTACGAGTGCCCAAAGAACACGATCGTGATGCGAAACAAGGAGGAGAAGAAGGAAGTCGAATTCGTTTGCCTCCGTGAGAACAGCAACACCAGACGTCTTCTCCGCCAAGCTCGCGAAGAAGTCATCCCACGCGATCTCCTCGAAGGAGAACGCTGGATGACCACCATTCGTGTGCCAACAATGTGCACCGTATATTGAACCATTGTAGTTTAGTCATTGAAATTTCAATAAATTTTACAAACTATGGAGCAAAACGCACATTATAAAAAAGACGCAATGAAAGCATAAGCTTCAGTAGATTAAGATTGTTGACTATCTATCAACCTCGTAATAAGAAAATAGAACTGACTCTATCATTTCTCCAGCCTCAGCAATCGAAGAAAAACATGCACATTTAGTAAAGACTAAACCTCTAAGCCTCTTTATGTCTCGAATAAAACCAAGTGAATAATGATTATGTTGAACAAAATTATTTTACAACCGCTTTTAGAAAGAGATCCGAGTGATAAGAAAATATTTCAAAAATGATTTACTACAGCACTCAAGTTGTACAAAAATCTTCAGCGGTTCGTTGAGCCACAAAAACAAACGACTGCTTTTCCCTAACCCAAGAACTTTCAATTTAATATTAGGCAAACGTTCTCTCGAAACAAAAGATAAAGTGTGATTTGTGAAAAATTAAAACAAATTAAATCGAAGAAATTTTAATTTCAAAAAGTCCTTTTCTCATAAAGAATGATATTAGTATTTAAACAATATTAATTTTGAATGCTTATGCTTATCGATGTGAAATCAAAAAAGTCACCTTTAAAGATTTCTTGAAGAGAAAACTGGGCCACTGCCCCTCCGGTCGAATATTCACATAGTAAGGGCCAAACAAGTCGCCAAGTTCATCTTGTGCAGATCGCTGATGACATAAGGCGCACATCCACAGCGTTTGTAAAGCATCTGGCCTGATATCGATCTACAAGAAATGTAGATTTGTCAAAAAAAAGAAGGTCAAAAGTACTCGACAAATATAGGCGCATTACCTGGAAGATTCGATTTATTTGCGCTTCCTCAGCTCGCTTTAATAGATTGTTATGTGTTTCCGAGTTTCTTATTTTTGGCACAGACGAGCTGCTCACCTGAAGGATGAGTGGAATTGCAAACCTTTGCAAACCTCACAAACTTGTCAGTAGGCCAATAAATCGGAAAACTACGTAACTGAATTTTATGTACAATCAATTACTCATGTGCGCGTTCACCATTGGCTCAAATCGCAATTAACGACCTTTGAACATTACAGATTGAGCTTGCTTTTTTGTTTACTCTAATTTACTGTGATATAAAAGTGACTACATCTTCTTACTCCTCTCCCCACTCCGCTTTCCGCTGTTAAATTGGCCGATGTACAAGGTGCCAGAAAATATTTATACAATACCTAAATATTAAATCTCTCTCTCTCCATAAAGTCCGATCTTCAAGCACCACTCTGTAAAGCTGGCTTCAACCTAGGTTTACAGTATGGAGCAAATTACGATCGTAAACCATTACTGCAGGACTTCCGTGAGAGCTTCCAAAAAGCGCCATATTAACCTGGACCATGAGACGAAAACTTGAAAGTTGCTAAGAAGGTTTCTGAGCAGGGTTTTTGCGCCCTAAACTCACTAGCATCCTAATTTCACACGTACAAGGTGCGGGAAATTTTGAACCGTGCTGCATATTGCCTGAGGGAACTGTGCAGCATACGAATTGCTTCCCGAAACACTCGGCAGCGGTTGAGCGTCTGTTTGAAAACCGTAAAAAGGTGCGCCTTGTAAGCGTGGAATTAGGAATTTTCATGAGCTATTCGCGCTTTTTGGATGGTGTAATCACACCTTCGGGGAAGATCGCTCTACAGTATACCTAGCATAATTTACAGAAGAAGCATATCGGTAATAAGTTTTAATTTTGAGTCCTCAGCATTGATTGGCCAAGTATAGAGTTTTTAGTTCGACTGACTTTTTTCTGAGGTAAAATACAGTTTTCAATTCGAAACCTTTTGGATATTTCGGACCCTCGCTACTACAATCAAGCAATGAAGAAAGAGCGATGATTGGCCTCAAACGAAAGAGAAAAACCTGCCGTCATTATAACGTCTCTAATGATTGAAACCGATGGAACACAGCACTTTTTTGTTCAGAATGATTTAAGTGTGAAATTCAGATGAAACACTGGGAAATTATTTGCGAAATTGTCAAGCTATTCAAGAATGATTTTGAGCGCTAATTTCAAATTGAAAGGACGAAAGACTTGAAAATGATTTGAGAAATGACAGCTCAAAAATCTCCAAAAATAATGGTACATTTAAGTAGTGAAATTCGGGCGAAAGACTAGAAAATCATTCAAGAAATGATAGTGCTGAAATTCGGGCGAAAGTCCAGAAAAGCGTTCAAGAAACGACAATTTAGAAACTTATCGGAAATAGTTCATCTGTGTGCTATCTGAACAAAGGATTAAAAAATGAATCAAAAAATGACAGTTCAAATTTTCAATAATGATAGTTCATTTATGTGCTGATATTCGCGTAAAAGACTAGAAAATCATCCAAGGAATGACAGTTCAAAAACTTCACTATTGATATTGCTGACTAAAAACACTATTGATATCAAAGATGGTCTGTAAGCGACAAACGATTCTGAAGTGCGAAGACTTTGCAAATATGCTGTAAGCAATGACACCTACGGCAAGAAAAGGTTGGAAGAACAGTTCGATTTTCCTTACAAATGGTAGCGTGATATATGTAAAATACTAATCGTTACTATCGATAATCTCAATGTTTATTTGCATCTTTCTTTTCAGGCAATGATAATCATGATTACTGAATGTCATTTCTTGAATGCCTTTTACCTGAATTTCATCGCTTAAATTTTTTTATTGATACACTGTTGTGCACAGTGCGCCAGTACAAGACACGAATGCAACGACAGACAAAGCAGTAATGAAACGAAATTGTGACATGCTCAACACCCTAGAGGAATCAAGGAGACTAATTCTCTAAACCAGGTGCTCGAGTGTTGTCTTCAAAGTCAGTGTCGTGGGGGCTAAACTTGGTATAAGTACAAGTCCAAGTACGATGCGTGACGGTATAGAAATATACGGTCACTTTCGAGCGAAGGAAGAGGGTTGAGCACCTAGGCGAATGAGCGAAATCAGGCGTACCCGGCGGGCAAGAAACCTCGTTCGGCTTACCCCAACAACGCTAACATCGGACTTGGATACAAGATGATCAGGATAAGAGACAAAATAAAGCTACACGACAAAGACGATGTCAAATTTAGAAGACAAACACTAAGCTGCGTATATAGTAAGAGGGCCTCTGAGGTCAAGAGCAAGCCAGCAAAACAGCAATGGAAAAAAAATAACTGATGGAACAAGATGGTCATACGAATGTACGCTATACTATAACCCATATAACGAGAAACCTGAATACAAAACAACAAGGTAATAGTCGATTTAAATGAACTGTTATATATGAAAACTTCTTGAGCGTCATTTCTCAAATGACTTCTTAGTCCTTTGTCCTTTCACTTTGAAATTAGCGCTCAAATAAATCATTTTTGAAGAGCTTGACAATTTCGAAAATGATTTCCCAGCGTTTTGTCTGAATTTAACACTTAAATCATTTTGAACAAAAATGCTGTGTTCCATCGGTTTCAATCATTAGAGACGTTACAATGAGGGCACGGTTTTTCTCTTTCGTTTGAACCTAATTTCACCTTTCTACGACCATTTTGAAGGTTTTTGGATAAGAGCCAGTTTCAGTAACCTGAGTTTCAATTGGAATTTTCAGGATTTCTTGACCAGGTTCCAAAAGAGGTTCTCAGGGGGCGGAGCTTAGATGTTCTGGGGAGCAATCGGAGATAGCGAGCACGATGTATCCTGCAGGCACTCCCCAAGTCGGCCTAATTAGGCTCGGGTTCCTAAGTTCCCTCAACCTAAAAGAGTTTGTGGAATGAGAGATTTAAACAACCAAACGCCGTATACATATAGGCTGTTGCATGAAGAAGGCGCAATATCATTGCGTGTGAATGCGGCTTTATTAGGCGCAGAGCGCATTTGACACAGCATTTACAACCGTGAAGATACGCGCGCGCGGCGTTCGCACCCCCTCAACTAATACTGCTTCTGCACCTTCGTCCTGCAGATGCCTTTGACTTTGAGAACGCCGTACACTGCACAATGGCGAACATAAATCTCACCCTAGAAAGTTAGATACGTGAATCAGAGTAGGAAATGTAGGTGCTCAGAAACACTGAGTTTGATGCCAAAAAATCGCGAAGGGTCGCTGGCTAGCCCAATCTAAGAAAATTTGTTACTCACCAAAAGTCCACACATTACTATGGCACGCTCCAATCTTGTGCGGTAAGGCAGTGAAAAAATTTTTACCAAAAAAATCCTTATCTGGCGCTTCAGCAAAAAAATTTGTATGACGCTCCAAAAAATGTCACAATGTTGCTGGTCGTGAAATTTGGTCCCAAATTGCTTTTCTGCAGAAAAAAAAGTGCAGCAATTATGGAAATTTTAGCGTTGACATTTTCACTTTTTGTTTTAGCTTTTCCATACAAAATATAAGCAAGCCAAAGTAACTTTAGAATTTTGCTGTGTAAGTAATTTTTACGGATTTTTGGCCTAGCTAGCGGCCCTATGCCGTTTCCTAGCACTAAACTCTAATGCAAAATCCAAATGCCATTTTTGAAAGCGAGCTCGGTGAAGTGTTACGTCTGAATATCTATCAACGCGCGCAAGCTTTCCACTATTTTTGGAATGCTTAACTGTTAGCCTAGGCTTAGTCTTTGAAAAAATAATAAATTTTGTTTGAACAACATAAACTTTCGCAACCTAATGTAATGAACTGAATTGGTTTTGCAGAAAAATCTTGAGACCATGGCTGCTCGAACAGTTTTCTTACGAAGGGGTGCCCCCTTTCCCACCCTCTCAGAATTATTTACCGCCACCGCCGTACAGCGGAACCCTACCCTTGGATGCCAGTCAATAGTATGCCATTTTCGTGACCAAAATCTCCAATAACCCATGCAGCCTTTTTAATGTTCAATTTGGAGACTTTCTAGAAGGAATAGCACCTCGAACAGTACTGCTTCACCGGTGGGCGGCATTCAATAAAGCAAAAAAAATGCGCAGGTGGAGGACAAAAGGCATTCTAGTCAACATCGTTAAGGCTTACGATCCACATCATGTCATGCTGGGATCTCATTCAAACTCAGGATTACTTAGCCAAAGATTGAGTGCATTTGCAAATCATAATGTGGTCGTGTTAAATAAATTAGCGGTACCAAAAATCAAAAAACTTGCTTTTGTAGGTGCAGATTCAAGTTATTCATCCCTATCACGTCGATGCTCTCCCGTCCTAACTAGACATACAAACGTGAATATTAAAACGTCTACAGGGCAAACCAGTTTCTTGCTCAGTTTTTCTCGTTACTCGAACAATCACCCTCCACATTAAGATTCCGAAAAGAGGCACGAAAATAGCCGCATAAAAGACAAAGTCTGAGATAAACTTTCAAGAAAGGCATGAGAATAGTGGATCAATTAACAAAAGTATGAGTTAAAATGGGACGATGTCTAGAAGAAACAGACATCACCTATCTGCACGGAGGAGTAGAATGAGCCCTTTGCCCTTTTGAACAGAGCAGGATTTTGGAAGATACAAAGGTGAGGACATCAAAAGCACTAGGTTTTACCGCGATCAGATTGAATAGATGTGAGATTAAGCAAAGGGTAAAAAAATAGAAACACAGACCCGCGGCGCTCATGATGTCATGTCCTAGAAGGACTCTAGCAAGTGAAGTTAGGTGACTTAAATTCGCGTTTCGAGTATATTTGGAATCAGCTTTGAACGCTGATTCCAATATATTGCCCTTAGCTGCGGCGCATAATTCTGAAGCGAGTTATGACATTTTTCTGCAATCGGCATGATATTTAATATGGGAGAGCTGCCTGTAGATGGAAATCTGCTTTAAAACGGTGCTGGGATATTAACGTAATATCAGATTGAGTCTTTTAACATTGACCAAAAAACTGAACGTAGTAAATCAGCACTTAGATGATGATATCGTAATGCCAGTAGAAGCATATTTTACACAAGAATTCGATTAACTCGCTCCAGACTAACGCGCCGCAGCTAAGAACAGCATATTTGGAATCAGCGTTCGAAGCTGATCCCAAACATATGTGTCACATATCAAAACTCTATTCTTAGTTATCTGACCTCTCATGTAGGAAAAAAGTAAGACCGCATTTTCAAGCTGTGGATCAAGATCGTTTCTTGAGGTTAGTCAAGAGTCCAGAGACTCGCAGATAGGAGACAAAACTGCATAGCAGAAACATTAGAAAAAGGTCTGATCTGGTCAGAACACGGACATGACAGATGAACATGAAAAGGTGCACAGAAAATTGGGTAACGAAGATAGTATGCAAAATCCTGAAGCTGAAATATTAGGTCGATGCACTCTTACACCAAAATATATAAATTTTCGTTTTAGAAATGCTTAAACAAGCTAATCAGTTTACACACTATGTATTTGTTATTTATGGGAAATGTACATTTCTTATTACATTTTCGAAAATCAATTTGGGAGGAAAACAGTATGTCGTATAAAGAAATCGAAATCCGTCACTTTGTAGAGACATCCGATCACCGCCAACTTTCGAAAAAGTAGATTCAAGTTCAAAAATAAATTTAGGAGATATGTCACATTTTGTCGACCAAAATTCAAGAAAACACTTTGGGTATTTTGATTGGCTTGCATCGTTGCCATGCGGCAACAAAAAATTCTGATTCGAACATATGCGGAAAGCACAGATTTCCTGTCTCTATTGTACCAAATTAGAAGAATTCAAGCTGGAGAAAGTTAGATAGTTATAGTGTAGAAATCGAAGCATATGTAGATGTACTGATGAACAGGAAAGAACAATTATGAAAGAGCTGGAGAGGAAGACAGTGTCCTCACCTTCAAATAAGCCATGTCATCATCTTTTGCCTTCCTCTTTGACGACGAGAATTTTTCTTTGAGTTTCCTGACCTCCTTGACGCTTTCGACATCTGAGAGATGTTTTGGATCAAGTATAAGAATCGCATATTTGGCTGAATTTAAATAAGGAATAGCACTGGTGAAAGCATGTAAATATCACTTGTAAATATCAGTTCACTCCAAACGGAGTAAAAACGCACGAGAATTCAAATGTTGAGTGGAAAATTATAAATTTGTAATAACTTACATTCATTGTCTTCTCTAGCGGCATTGCGCCTTCTTTTCCTCCCTCTCTTTTTCTGAGCTTTCTTGGTAGAATTTCCTGTTGCTTCCATCTTCAAACAGTGTCAGATAGAATTGGTAAACCAACGTCAAATCGACTTTCAAAAATGACGGCGAAAGTATAGAGCTTGTGCAACTGCAGACACTCTCAAATCTTGACTTTGTAATCTGTCATAATTACTCATCTCCTTCCTGCAACTATTATCTGCCCTCTCTAACAAATCGAAGCTCAGAATCGCGATATTTGGGAATAGTTATGGCTAGGTGATGCCTTGAACGTTTAGGAGAGGATTTCAAAATGAAGACGCGCTATGCAATTGGTGAGATCATGACTTGCAATGTCTTTCACAGCAGATCTCGTTTTTAGGCTAAATTGTTTGTCTTTTCAGCGCATGCCAATTTTTCGGCCACAGAAGATCTCAATGAAGAGGCTAGAGCGAAGAAGTCGCCATGTTGTTTCCTCAATCTTGTTGCGGGAGATAGAATATGCGTTTACTTTGAAAAGGATGGTGAGTGAGCAGTACTTCATCTGAGATGCGATGTCTGCTCCAAGATAAAGTATTAAAGTCATGGTGATCATTCATGTACTCTTTCCTGCCATGATTTTTGAGGTTATCCTCCATGTATGGTGTAATGAAGCCTATTTCAGACTGGGCAGTAGGTTCTCATGTGGGATCGAAAGCTGAAGCAGGCCTTTTTCCTCTGAATGCGGTGAACTTTGTAAATCGCCACTCACAAACGGATCCTACAGCGGAAGGGGCAGGGATCGTAGAGGAGATCAACCAGGTTACGCAAACATGGTGGAGGAAAATTAAGGTGGGTAAATGTCTTTGATGGCTTTCGCATGTGATGGGACCAGATGCCATCTCTAACAAAAGTTTATCGCCTTCAATAATTAGTATAGTCGGGTTACAACATTAGTGATAATACCTCGGTTATAGGAAATCTACGTGAAGCATGCCGAAATGCACTATTTCAACGAGGTTTTAGACTTCATTGAATATATGCTTTCCGTCAGACAAAAGATCTTATCAGGTGAATTCTTCCTATCTTATTGTCGACGAGAGATTTCTATACTAGGTAATAGGTTTTTATATAATAGCTTTTTTTTGTTAAATTACATGGAAAATGCATATGTATCAAGAAAACTGAGTTAGTATTGCATTGTTTTGTAACATGAAAATTCCAAGGAGGAGTACCATCCGAAGAGCTGAATGCGTTGCGGATTCAGTTGGCGAAGAAGATCGACCGAGGAAATATGTAAAATTCTTGTATTGAATTGTACTGAAAAATTGCTTCAAATCTTGTTTAGGCTTCTTAGTCTGAATGTGACTATCCGAAATGAACACGGGTTTGCGTATGATCCTGACACCATTTCGTTTCTTCAAACATACAATGAGCATCAGAATACTCAGAAACGCGTGGCAGCGGAATCTTCAAGGGTACTCGTTTCAATAATTGCTCAAAGTGTATCCCACCTGTCAGGTTAATTAGTAATTGTCGTTTTTTTCCAGCTTGAGCCTCAAGAAAAACCTGCAAAATCTTTTTGTCTTTTGTTACGGGTGCAAGGTATAGAGCTGCAGATGAAGTATAACTGTGAAATCACAATGGTTCTTTATGACATGGAAGCGAAGCACTTCGTCAGGTACAAATGATTTTTTGCATGTTGCTTTCTTATCGTTCCGTTTACTTAACATTATTATTGTCCTTTTTGAGCTGAAATGTTTTTATTGGTCATCATTTAGTGACACTTTCACTTTTATATGGAAAAGCACCAACGAGCAAAGCTCTCGCGATCTCAACATTCGTGGATTATTCACGGTACGATAACTTGAGCATGTTTGTCATCATTTGATTTGTTTTTTTACTATCGCATCAAAATTCGTGTTTCGACACAGTTTGAAGTTTAGAATAAGTTTTTCTTACCAATCACGGGTCAGAATTGACAAACTTCTGCTGATTTTAGCCCTGCTTGCATTGCTCTTTTCATTTTAGAATTTCAACCAAGCTGATATCGGCAAACGTTTGGTGTTAGTCACCAGGGTAGCCCACATCGCTCCTGTTGAACACACATCATCGACACTGAGGAGGAATCAGGAACCGGGGCCACCCAACCTCTACTGTCGCCAGAGTATGTTTTTTTCCAGTTTCTGGCATAGTTTTGCATTTTCCTTTCAAATTTTCTCACCGTTTCACGATTACATATTTCAATTTTTTTAGTCATCGCTTTCGATTTCTTTGATATGACGTCTACCTTTTCCAACCCACAACCTTCACATGATGCTAAAGATAAAGTTATATTTTTGTCTAGGTTAGCACCGTTGAGAATTTCCATTGCCATACGGTTCAAATTTTCATTTGATCAGGGATCAAAACAACTTCGATCAGGCGTTGAAGTCTATGCAGTCTACTTGTAAAGTACCGAGGCCAAGTACATCATCAGGTGGGTGTCATTGGCGGTTGAAAACGATGATTATTCGTATTTTTCAAGATGACATCAAAATGCTCATATCGACGCAAATATTTACCAATGGGCTGGCAGAGCTACGTTTGAAAAGGCCATATCTATTCACAAGAAACCCTCCGGCGATCATCTCCCGATGTGATTATGCTGGTCCCGCCACAGGTTGTTTCTATGCTTGCCTCTTTTTTGTATACTAAGACGCCCATTTTCAGTTGACATACGGAACGAACTCTACGTGACATTGTTACAAGGGGAACTGTCTGGGAAGTCTTCGGATAGGAATATCGAAGCTCGATTACATCTTGTTGAAGGCAATGGAAGGGTGGTCCCTGACGTACGTTTTTAATAGTTCGCCTTCTCATGAAACTAGGATGTTTCAGTCTTTTCAAACGGTAAGTGTCGGATCGCTCAAGTCGTCTTCTGATTATCGCAGCTTTGTTTACCTACATGAAGACAAACCTATGTGGTTTGAAAATATCAAGGTATGTGTATCAATTCCTGCGCTTTGATTGTATTTTTGCTAGCTTTCAGGTCCGACTCCCTGAAGACATAAGCCGTGATTTACATCTGCGAATTACATTTCATTCAAGAAAACCTTATGACAAGGGGAAACCTGAGAAGGGACCTTTTGCGTTGGCGCACATTCGACTAATGTGCAAATCTGTGCTCGTTCCTGATGGTGATCACGAATTGCTAGTGTATAAGGTGAGAGATGCACTCCGTTCTGGAGTGGAGAATTTATTTCTAGATTTCAGATCGAATCTTCGCATTATGATGAAAGCAATACCAGCTACCTGCCCTTGCCACAAACCAAAAGGTACGCTTATCCATTTTTCACAGATGTTTTCTTTCTTGCTCAATTCTTTTCCTTTTGGGCTTGTCGTTAACTCAGCGAGCATAATTCATTGCACATTATGACTTTTTGTTATCGTATCAAGTTTCCGTTCTGTTTCTCCTATCACTCCATTTTATAGAGTGCTGCGAGATCTTGGCAACACAACCAACAAACCACATTCTTCTGTTTTTTCGCTGAGCGAAAAGAGCTTCGTGGTCATCAATACACTTACATGTTCAACGCTTCTTACTCAAAATGAACATATTCTCAATGTTCTTGGATGGAGGTACGTGTGATGCGGTACTGATATTTGTCGACTTCCCGCATATGTTTTGGATCTACATTGAATGATTAGATTTTTTGCAGGGAGTCGAGACCAAATCTGGATACTTCGTTGACTATTCTTGGTGCTCCTTTTGGAGAGCTGCAGAATGAGGTTGCTTTTTTTCATTTGAGTAGACCCACGTAGAGTAATATATCCCTAGATGATTCGCTTCCTCTGTCCTCTGCTGGACGCATTGTTTGAACTATGGGAAGAGCGCGAAAAACTGGAACTATATGTATTTGATGTAATTGTTGCATTGCTGAAACTGACTGGTGAGAAATGTGTATATGTGTGCAGTCTGTCTCTACTTCTACCAGAAATATTTTTTCTCAGATGAACAGCAGTACAGTTCAAGCGCAGATATACTCAAGAAGTACATGGATAGGTTTCCTTACTGCAACGCAGGAGTGTAAGCGAGAAACTTCTTGTTTTCTAGTCTATCTAATTTTTCTTACTTTGATTATTCTGTAGCGAGTGTATTTGTTCGTTTCTTCGCATTAGGGGGCAGAAAATCAAGTATGCGCCTTTTTCAACTATGCGAATAACCGATTTCTCTTTTGATAAGAACTTATTATTATGGTCCGTATATATGTATTCTAGAAAACTGATGAGGTGCCTGAATCACTACATCGCCAGTGCCTCTACCAGTAATAACGAGAAATCTCGGAACTCTTTGAAAGTTATGGGACATGTGTTTCGCACAGTAGTCCAGTCCAAGAAGAGTGGAGACAAGTCAGTTCATCTCCTTACACCTACAGTCTGCTGCTAATTACGTGTTGAGTGTAGTGAAAATGGCATCAGGCATCCGATCGCGAATTCCGCATATCTCTTTTACAGTTTCTCCGATGACCCAGCTTTCGACATCAGTTTTCGTTCAAATCTAGACAGTGTTCTCGATTCACTTGTGAGTCTTATGGGTGAGACAAGGGAGCGCATGGCAGTGCAGAACACTGCATTAAAGCACTTGCCCTCTATCGTTGATCCTATCTGTGCTAGCGGCGCTTACGAGCCGACCGACTTATGGTATTATTTGACATAGGCTTTGTGCTGTTTTTAAGTTTTAACGCCTTTCTAGCAAATTCTTTGTCCGCGTCATTAATGGATTTGGCAAAAACATCGTGGCACGTGAACGCCTTGGATTTGTCTCTCAGTTGATAGACACCAATCTTTTCGAGGTACGATGAAATTTATTTTGTTCAAAGTGTGCTCCATAACAATACATAATCCCTCAACCTTCTTGAATTTCTGAATTATGTTTCTTGCAAATCGAACCATTCAAAAATGTGCTATTCAAGAATTGCAAATGAATTGTAAAAAAAGATGAAAAGAGTTTATTGAAAAAAGAAAAGAGCTGTAAAGAATTGCAAAGAAATGCATTTGTTGTTGTTTTAGTTGTACTCATGTCGTCAAGTCCTACTGCCTCGTTGCATTGAACTATTACTGGTACAGCTCGATCCTGATCAAAATGAGGATCGCGAGTTTGTTGAGAGATCTATGGAATGCGCTGGTATTATCAGCAATCTGCTGGAAAGGCTGTTTCCTGTCACGGTACGCTTTTTGCTTTTTTGTTGGCTCAACTCTACGTACTTGCTAACGTTTTATCTAAAGTGCGCATTGATGCGTCAGATGCGCAGTCGCATGACGACTTCGGCATCTGCAGAAAATACACATTTTTTTTAGACATCACCTCCTCAGTATCAATTGGGAACTGATGAAGAGCTGAACCTTATCATAGATGCAACCTATAGACCGCTTGTGCAAGCAATGGTTCATATCGGCCAACAGAATGCCTCCGTGAGTATTTTAACGTATGAAATTCAAGCATGATTTTTCTTTGATTTTTTTCTAGAATGATGAGATTCGTGGCCGATTTTTCTCTCTCATCTTAGCTTTACTCAACAAAATGTCCGCTCAACTTTTCGGCAATTATATAGAGAATAGGTAATGATGTATGTCTCTCTTTGATTTGTTCATGAAAGAGCTTTTAGGCCAAGTGATATAGACAAGATGGATTTTATTCTGGAGATGCTCCAGATGATTCGTGATCTCTTGTGCAAATGTCCTTTCCCAGCTACTTGGCAACAAATGATCATGTTGCAAAATAAGTTAGTTTTATTATCGGCATTGTTTTCTTAGGGAGTCACTGAAACGGCAGCGAGATTGCTTTGATGAAATCGAAACCTACGTCTTTCAGGACCATTCATAAGGCTTTACGGTTTTTGATGAATGCCATCCAAGGGTACTTCTCGAATGAGCGCGAACGATTTTACTCTGACGTGAGCTCGAGTTACGTGCTATCATTTGATGAATAACATCAGCCGTCTATCCAGATATGGCAGGAGTATATGCTGACAGCTGTATGTTTTGTAACTCAGCCATCTCTTCAAGCAAACGAGGAATGGCTTCGTGACGAGTGCGATTCTAGAGTACAATTGAGAAAAGCGGCTGCTCGTGACCTGAGATCTATGTGGTTCCGACTCACACGTGCGAGAATTAGTCTTTTCCAACTTTTTGCATCTGAATGCATCAGCAGCATTTCAGCTGTCCAAAAAATGGGATACATTCCGAGGCTTGTTGGAGCATTCTTGAAGGTGGCTCTAGTGGAGGATGATGAGACGCGCGAGGCAACGATACCGATCTTTTTCGATATGATGCAGTGCGAGTTCCATTCATGTATGGAGGATAGGAAGAACTTCAAAAAGGTTTGCATCTTGCCGTAAATTCTTCCAGTTTTATTCCACATATTCTGACCAAAATTAGGCAAAAAGTTTACAATTTTCAGTTTTCTGATGAACTCATTGCTCAGCTGGACAGCTTGGTTGATCAAGATCGTGGAACAAGAGCATTTCAGGAGCAGTTCACAAAAATTCTCACTAATCAATGCCAGTACGCATAAGTCTTGTTTACCCACCACTTAGATGACTCACTGCCCAACCTCCTTTTTTCAGATCGGACAAAGAGCTGTGGGAAGGCGGCGGGCGAGAACTTATTGAAAGGGTTGATCGACTCTTAGGGCACCTTTTTGAGTACAGACTTGTCAGAGAGACGTCTGATTGCATGGAAAATGGCATGAGTAGAACCGTGCAGCTTCTGGTCAGCCTTATTGAAAATCTTTTTTATGTGAGCAAATGCCGATTCAGAGGTACTATGAGAAGTATCGACACCATGATCTCTACATCACCTATGTATATAAACTCTACGACCTTCATATCTTGTATAATAATCAGATAGAAGCTGCGAAGACGTTAATGCTCTATGCTAATACTCTGAGTGTGAGTGGGACATACATTTTTGAGCCATTCTGACAGGAACTGCAAAGAGTTCTGATGTTTCAGTGGAATGACGTCGAATTGGACGAGTCTCTTATTTCGAGACGTTTGAATCGTCATTGTGCCGTCGAACGACAGCTGAAAGATAGCCTACTTTGTGAGGCAGCCGATCTGTTCGCTGAAGGGGAGATGTGGGAGGATGCAATAAAAATTCTCAAGTCAGCTTCCCAAGCTATTTTTTGTTTTCCGCAATGTTTAGTGAGATTTCCAGGGAACTTTTACCAGTATATGAGAAAACTTACGTCGACTACGATAAGTTGGCTTCATTGATGGTTAGTAATCTAAACGAATTTCTCGTTTTTACTCCTTCGTTTAGGTAAGAATTGCTGAGCTTTATCGAAAGATCGATAGAGAAAATCGCGCATTTTTCTACTACTACCTAGTCGCATTCTACGGCAAAGGATTCCCCAGTTATCTGAATGGCATCAGGTCGATAATGAACCGGAAGCTCAGAATACTTTCGTGATCATAATTTCCCCTATTTTCAGTTTTGTTTTCCGTAGTGACAAGCTTGAGAGGCATGCGGATTTTATGCAAAGGATGCAACAGGTATAAATCTATCAAGGGTTTAGACAAACTTAGTTACGAATGATTTGAATATTCGATCAAAATGGAATAAAAATCGCGGTTGTTTTTATGTATATGACTCGAGAAGGAGGAGTGTGTATGTGTGTCATCGCTTAGTAAGCGTGCGCAAGAATTTTGTTTTTGTAGATCCAAGAAAGGAACCGTTGTCAGACATACAAAACAAGCTTAGCATAAATAATTTCCCAACATTGTTTTTAAGATTTATGGCGGTCCGGAAGCTATAATGTCGATGGATGACTGCTCGCACCTGAAGGATGCCCCCGGTCGATACATGCAGGTACTGATTACTGATGGTAACAATGGATTATTTTCATAGTTTATTGCTACAACTGGTCCAGGTATTCAATGTGGATCCTATCCCCACTCCATGTCCTTTTGAGGATGCTCACGTAAATCCAGCAATAAAGGATTACTATCGACACTACAATGTAATCGTGGACTAGATATGGCAAATGCTTGTTTTTCGTCCAGTGTAATTATATTCGTAGATACGTGACTTCGAGTACAGTAGAGTAGAAGAACGTAAAGACACGAAGTGGACATCTGTGAAAGACACAGAACTCATGCGAACCTGGATTGTCAAGCGAACAGTAGTGACTTACGAGCGCCTTCCTAGTATCCTGAGGTCTACTCAGGTTTGTATTTACATTCCAGTCGCATAAGGTTTTTAGTGATAAAGTTGAATTCCAGATAATATCTACTTCTCCTCCAATTTATGTAAACCCTTTACGACGCTCTGTAGAACAAATGCAGCGTAAAAATACTGAACTCATGGAAACCGCGTTGTTGGTACTGTTGGACCGATTACATGCGGTGAAAAAATTGTCCGGTGAAATATTGGGCGTGGTCCGACCAGCGGTAATGGGAGGTGTTAGCAATTATGAGGTATATACTGTTCAGATAGAAAGTGCATTTTCCCGCCTAAATCGGATTTTCAGGTCTTTTTCACTGATGAGTGCGCCAGAATTTACGATTCAGAGGAGAAGCAATTAGCTATGCAATTGAGTGCTTTGATAATAGAGCAGGTGGAAAATTTTTGGCATTTTCTAACCGATTAGTGCACTGAGGTTTGCTTTTTGAGGTCGAAATACTGGAATTCTGCCTATATGCTCACGCATCTCGCACAGAAATCACGAAGCAGTTTCATGATCATCTCGTTGATGGTTTTTATGAGCATAAGCAATATGTGGAGGACAAGTTTGGAAAAACGGTAAGTCTTTAGTTTGTCAAAGCTACTATCACCGTACATTATATATATTCAGTCATCTACACTTTTTTGTTCTAGAGATCAATTTTACCTCCCGGGGCCTCGATTCGATACTCGATCGAAAGCAATGGCATTGATGCTAGCAAGAAAAATGTGTCAAGTAATTCACTTGATGCAAAGTATGTGTAGTGCAGAATTTTAGTTCAGTTCATTGCGCAGCGCTCTTGCATTTAGTCTAAGCGGAAGCGGAACGCTGAACCTACGATCTCGAGGTGCTGCCATCGGGTCAACGATGCTTAGCATGTTGACGACCTCCAGAAAATCCAGTAGTGCGACCGGAACTGCCTCCAATTCAGCTGCAACACTGTGAGTGCCGCAGGCAAATTTTTATGAATTCAAAATTTTTTCAAGAGCTAACAATCGAACAACATCTGAACGTTTTGATGCCGCACGTGTATTTGCAACGATGCGCAACAGCAGCATGGATTCGCTCAAGTCTCCTGTGCGTGCAAATAGGCGGCCGACTGTCGATGGACTTGAGGGTAAGAATCAAGATTGACTAAGCGGCTTGAGTATAGATGGGAATTTTTCGCAGGTATTCGTTTGCGTTCACGCGCTCGGCGTAGCACGGACCAACCTTCTGCTCCACCTCTTCCTCCGCGAACACATACAATGAGAGGAAATGATTCTTCACTTGACGATAGAAATGTTCCAGAATTAAGGTATACCAAGGTACGCGAATATGCTCAACTTGTAACGCAGTGGCAGTGCAGAATGATGTGTATGATTGCCTCTTATAGATTTATGTTTTATTTATATGTTCAGTCTTCACAAAATAGTTTCCTCATCAGAGCCCAGTTTTTGGAAGCTACGAGTCATTATAAGAATTCACTGAGGCACTAACTCTGACATTCGTTGCGTACGGCGTTCCTAAATTTCATGCCGTACCAGCGGCGTTCCACGTTCTGCGCTTAGCGTGCCAGCGGCGAATAGCAATTTCCAAATCAGCTGATGTCAGTGCAGTAACAAAAATTGGGTAAAACTACGGTCACGAAGGCGCACACTCCTGGCGTACCAACGGTGTACATTCTCCTACCAGCGGAATTCCACAGCGCACGAGCGGCGTGCGACTGCCTTACCAGCGGCGTTTGCGTGTTCTGCTCAGATGACCATCGAACGTCGCTGATACGCAACGAAATTCAGAAAAGTTATATTGGGAAAAGAGAAATTTTTGTTTGTGGGCTTTAATAATAAATTGTGCTTAGAATCAAGCGAAGTAGTGAGGCATACCTCCTCCACCTGTGCAGATCGCTAAGCATAGTCAAGTTGCCAAAACACTTTTTTGTGCATTTTCATATCTAAAGTGCACATTACAGCAAATACGAATTTTTCGAAACGTCTATGAACTTTTTCAGTCACCCATTCCTACTCCAATCACGGATCTAGCCGATTTGCAACGATATTGATCGTTTGCATCTGCACCATTCTCTCAGATTTTGTACACCTTGGCTTTACGTGAATAGTCAGTGTAGCTAATTATTGTTTTGCTCATAGTTTTTTGTGCTGGACTGCCTGTAACAATTGCCTTGTTCCTCTCATTTTCACTTGCGACACCAGGCTGGGTAGCTTCAATATGTTCACTAGTAATGATTTCTGTATAATATGAAGTACGTGTAACTCCTGTTAGCATATTGTTCTAGTCATTGGCTGAGTAACTTACGAAATTACTGTCTATATACTTGATCACAAATAAATCATTCCTGAAGAACTAGCGTTTGAAGCAGATTTGTTAGGATATTTCGTAGTCAACCGTATGCAGCTAAAAATCTAACCTGTCGTTCGGGGAGCTCTTGTATGCTAAAATATGGTGTCATATAAATTATAAAATAGTGATGGAAGAAATTGTATTCGCAAGTCAGTTGCCTGATTCATGAAAAACGATAAGCTGATAGAAAAATAACAAGTATGACTGTAACAAAGCTGCGGCTATGTGATGAACAAGGCACTTCTCCGTTGGTAGTCATAGTTATGAAGTTGCAATAGGATGATACTCGAGTGTAAATGCCTGAAGACATGCGGTCAGTAGATTGTTCCATAGTATCAGAGCTTGAGATATTTATTCTGTATCACACAAGTTGTTATGAAGACATGACCCAACCTGGTGCCATCCTTTGATCATAGTATCCAGGACCTAGATTTATACCAAAAGAGGTGATGCCAATCTGGTACCACAGTCCATTATCGTCTCGGAGCATCAGAGGACCACCGCTGTCACCCTTGTAAATTATCAAATAACAATCCAAGGATTTGATTGTAAGGCTAATTGAGTGAATATGAGGTTGGCGCAAAAGTTCTCGCCTAATGACGACGATAATTTATCCATGGTGAACCGAAGTTCACAATTTTGATTTTTAAACTAGAACAGATTTGCGGCCTAGAACAAATGTTGGATCATAGCTTTTTATAAGCTATCTACCGAAAGGGAAGCTTTCAAATATGGCGTTAATCTCGCGATTTTGATTTGCTGTCAGAAGATTTCGGAAGAGCCGCTACTTAGCTTCGAGGAACCTCTAAAAATCTCTTGCATAGCATTCGCCAATAAATTTCGGTGGCAGGCTTCACTCATGCATGAAAACGCGAAAACAAAAATCTTAAAAATTGCCATTCTGCTGAAGAAATCTCGTTATTAGTGCACTTTTCAGCAAAAACTGTTTCACGTCCAAAAAGGTCATTGTTTTAGATATGTACCATGTGATATTTCCAGTTTTGAGCAGTGTTTTATGGAGAAAATGCACCGACAAGGGGTTTTTCCTGCAAAATGACACTTTTCATGAGATTTTGTTTTTGCATTTCATCCAAGAGTCAAGCGCTACAGTTATGTATGGACTACTGTTATGTAAGAAACTTATACAGTTTGGGGATAACTGACGGCCCTCACAAAGTTATGGAATCTTGTTCGTTACGCAAGAACTTTTGCGCCAACCTAATATTTTTGAGGTAAATTTCACAAGTCAGAAAATTCAGTGCCGTCACCAGTTCCCTCTTCAATCATGACAATTACCTGTGCTGTTCCATGTCCAAGAGAACCAGCACATAACTGAGTGTTTGCAATCTCAAATCCTCCCCCATATTCACTGAGTTTTCTCCATCTTTGTCTTAAAAAATTACGTTGCTAATCTTTTGTATCCGCACAAGCTCAATTTGTGTTATATTGCGTATGAGTTACACTAACTTTGGTGAAAAAAATTGACTCACGAGCACATATCCTGACTTAGCAACGGTACTGTTGTTTGCTGTAAATTCTGGCTCATATTTTTACCGATCTCATCGCCGACTACAAGAAGCAATTGAGATTATCTTGGAGAACAGTGTCCGATTTGTAATACTGTTGTAAGCTCCAAATCCAATCACATAAGCTGTAACGTTGTGAAGCTTTTGGGATGAGGAGGTGAGGCAGATGGGCCGTTGTTGTTCTGTATAGCGAACAGGATTTGAGAGCTGAAACATTGAGTAGAACAAACCGAAAATTTGATATTGAAGCAACCTGCAATATTGCTATGTCGTGAAGCTGCTGTGGATTGTCATCCATATCTTCGGAATATTCTGGGTGAATGAATTTATTCACAACCTACAGAAAACTAGAATTTGCTGCAATGTTCTTAATCTTATTATTCTTGATTTTCGCGTCTTTTGGAGAGAATCATCTGGAAACAAACTGATGGACATTGTAGGTCGCCGCGGGGATCTCTTCTCTAGGTGTGACTGTCCCAATAAGCACTTGCGTGTGATCAACACTCATTTCTCTAAAAATAAAATGTAAACCAATCTGTATCAATGGCTGGCCGAGTAATTTCTTGGGGAGGAGGAAGTAGAAACAACAAAATTTTTTTTCCATAAACAGGACTCTTCGAAAAATATCTTCAGAATGTTTTTTGAAGTTTTCGCGTGCCTATGACCACAAAATTCCAAGAAAAAGGGGCTTTGGCGGCAAGCTCTTCTCAAGACTTTTTCACAAAGCTTATTCAAAAAATGTTATGAAATCATTCTATTGCTTATAAGTCCCTTAGGGCCGCATGCACTAACATTTCCGCTGGGGAGGGGATCGCAGCTTCAGAAGAAAGTTTCATATCCTGAAGTTCCGGATATCTGGATTTCACGCTGTCTACCTATCCGTAAGTACTCCCACCATCCTTCATTAGAACACATTGAGCAGAAGCGAGAAGCTGTACAAGCCGCATTTCCCAGCTTTTTGTAGGATCCCCTGATGATCCCTTGGGGACGAACATCTATTCTTCAAAGTCATTTTTCTTTCTCAGAACTCAACGAAAACCTTCCAAAGTTATACTGAACATCTAACACAACGGTGCTAAGCACGTTGCTGATGAGAACAAATGAGTTTTTGAAAATTCGAATTTTTCGGTAAACCTCAAATTTCGACCTGTCGAAAATCGTCGAAAATTGCACGATTTCAAAAATCATTTGTTCTTATCAGCAACATGCTTGGCACTGTCGGGTTAGATAATCTGCACAACTTTGGAGGTTATTCGTTAACTTCAAAGAAAGAAAAATGACTTTGAAGAAAAGCGCCGGGGATCAACAGGGATCATACAAAAGCTGGAAAATGCCGTTTGTACAGCTTATATCTCCTGTTCAACGCGTTCTTAGTGAAGGATAGTAAGAATACTTACGGAAAGGTACACAACGTGAAATCCAGGTATCGTCGTCTCCCCGGCGTACGTTGGGCGGAGCTTTTGCAGACATTTCAACATGTTGGTGAACTTGTTAACCCTCTACTGCAAGGCATTGTTTTTTGTGATCTCTCGCTACCAGCTCTGCCACGTGTGACAACAGCATATATACGCGGCAAATTAGAGAATACAAAGAACCATACTTTGCAGTAGAGGCTTGACAAGTTCACCAACGTGTTGAAATGTCCGCAAAAGCTCCGCCCAACGTACGCCGGGGAAACGACATTATCTGGAGTTTCGAAATATGAAGCTTTCTTTAAAGCTGCGATCCCCTCCCCGCGGCCATGTTAGTGCATACGGCCCTTACACGATTTTAGACCATAATCAGAGCATATAATATAATCCATGGTCCACTTACGTTGTGCAATGAGCAGCTGTCAGCACATATTTAGCCGATATAAGGGACCCACCACAAATGTAAATCCTCCCTATAAAAGATTAAAAAAATTCTATTCTAAAAACTTATGATGTCAAATCATGGCTATATAGAATTTGAAAACTAAAAAGCTTGTGAAAAATGTATTTTAGACCGTTCGTAGGTCGTTAAAGGTATTTTACTACTCACCGTCGCTCAAACTCCTATATTTTATCAAAGCGTGCCAAGGCCAGGCATTGGCTGGAGCTGTTGTGCCTCCGACTATGAAAACCCGAATCTAAAAATGGTTTTGCTTCCATCGCCGAAGGCATTCATATATGATTAAGGCTCATTTACCCTCCTACTTATCGGACTGCTGCGCACATTTTCCCGAGGTGGTCGCCATGTATTGTCATGTTGTGAGTTTGCTGATTGTCCACATTCGAATGCATTCGTTCGGATGGTCAAGGCGAGTGACATGAGTAATATTAGCATGAGTTTGTTCGAAGCTTCTAGGAAACTAGCTTAGTCGCGATTATTCAGCGGGCCAAATATAGAATCCGCCAAACCATTTCACTGTGTTGGCATAAAATACAAGGAATGGAAAATTTCGAATAAACATTTCTTAAATTACAACAGGATCTCATCTGCTAACATGTCTGCATAATTTTTATATTATACAGAAAATTCCAGCAAAAAAGACATGAGAGAAAATGAGACGGGTAGGGAATTCTAATCGTCATCGGAAGGCATCAATGACTACACCATGAGATGAGTGGCAACAATTTGGGCCCCGAAAGATGTCTTGTTAAACAAAAAGAAGATGCATCATCTGCGTCAGATGCATCTCTACTTCTAAAAAAATCATTTGCTTCTTTTTTGGGCATGCTTTCGTTGTTTAAGCAACATACTTTTAATCACATGACTCAATGTATGAAAGCAATGCATGTTGTTCTCAGAAATCAAATCAGAAAAAAATACGTTATAGGAAGTCACTGTACCTGACTGATAATTATATAAGTACTAGTGGACAAGCTAGGACTTCATTATTTATGAATGGCGTGCCAAAAATAATCCTCAAAAGGATTTTTTCGATGCTTTCCATAGATTTTTAGTGGCTTTTGACTTCAACTTGTCATGCCCAAATGAAAATTCCTTTGCAGATTAAATTTAAATGTTCACAGATGTTGATTTATTTTCTCAGCGAAAACAAGCCACTTGCGCAATTTTATAGTTCAGAAAAGAATATTTTAGGAAACCAATCTCTACCTAATCATTGATTATGAAGATAAGTGAATGAGCTAGGACTTCATCGCTAGGAGCAACGAAATTGCCTTGCAGTGCAAAAATCTAGCCTGTGCTCAAGAAAAGAGTAGAGAATCGTGTGTAGTGACTGGTAATCACACTTGTTCCAGTCTCCAGTTTTCAAAACGTACAGCTACATTCCATGACCGTTATCTTGTTTGCTTGGTCAGTTCATCGAGTCACTTCCGATAATAAGTGTGACCATCGGCAGTTTTGAATGTTCACACTTAAATAAAATATTTTTGGTGTCGAAAAAACTGTTCATTCCGGCTGTTAATCTCAAATTCTAGATTTTGTGCACAAAACACCCAAATTTATTCTTACAAAGACAAATAAACAAACAACATCAGAATTCAATAATTAAGAAGGATGCATAGTGTGGCCGATGTACGGAGCAAGAGATCTCGAAGTGAATTTTTTTGTACAGCCACTAATCCATCAATTTTTTCCAAACAATCATTTCTTTTCTTTATTTGGGGTCATGCTAGACTTCCTTTGCGAGGTTGCAGTCACAGATTTTGAGGTGGAAGACGCGGATGCCTGCGACGCTGCTGTCGAGCTGCTAGATGCTACAGAGTCCTTCTTGCTTTTGACTGGAGTGGAAATAGATTTGCTGGATTCTTTCTTGCTATCAACTGCTGAAGTGGCAGAAGTGGATTCCACAGGCTTTCGCTTGCTAGATAAGGACCTAAAAGTGTATTTTTTTGATATACAATTTAGTATATTTAGCTCTATGCACTCTGTAAGAACTCTAAGTAGCACAACATCTGCTTTCAGAATCTAATAAGAAGAAAAGGTCTTTTGCAAATTAGATAATCTCCGTGGTCAAAACCCTATCGTTATTCAATACTTGGTACAACGCTAACCTTAAACAATGAGCGACGAAGTGGAAGTTTCTTGAGTGGATTTTTTGTGCTCGAAGGTAAGATTTCGATTATTTTAGTATATGGTCTCAATCTAACATTAAGACTAATTACCAAGGCTCGGACGAGGTAGCTTTTGGAAAATGCAAAAGTCAAAATCCCCCTTGCCTTTCCCAAAATTTCACGAAATCTCCTTGACCCTAAACTATGAACGTACAAAATCCTCAGAAAACGAAACGTCGACTAAAAAACCTAACCTAAGTTGTGTTTTTCGGCCACAAAAGCGACATCCCCTTTGCTTTTGTCCCAAAAACCATACCCAGCTTGCTTATAAGCCATCTGTGTCGAGCCCTGCTAACTACCCCTATAGTCAAGAGTTTTTAGCTGTTTGTAAGGTATTATCAAAGTTGTTATGCGAAAAACTAGCTCAATGAATAAATCAAAAACAGCAAATTTTTGGATAATTACAATCTGCTGGATATTGTTATAAATAAACACCTGAATTGCTGGATAAAGGCTATTTTAACCAGATATTCCTTTCGGCGATGTTCATATATGAACCTTGTGCATGATATAAGGAATAATTGGGCGGTTTTTTTGGAATATAAATGAGGACTTACTTTTCGCTTACGGACTTTCCTTGTTTGAGTTCTTTTGCCGTTGCTCTACCTTCTTCGCAGTTCTGGAAAAATCGGTTGAAATGTTCATGATTTCGCTATTACATTTCTTGTGGGAATGGCATCAATCCTGTTTCAAGTATTTTCTAATTTTATTCGGATATCTGCTTCACTTTTCGATATACCAGTGACAGCTTAAAATACACCGGTTAAATTGTTCTTAGATTCTACCCCCCCCCCCCCCAAATTGGTTCATATATTTGGTTGATGCAAAAGTCATGAGCGTTTTTCTAGGACTTTTCAGGACAGCTTTTTCCATCAAACTTCTTTTTTTTTTGAAGAGATGCAACACATTTTTAAGAAGTGCTTTTCATGCTCTATCAATACTTATTTAATATTTGGCTTAGTTACTTCTCGTATCTTCGCCCAAAAAGGATAGAAGGAGTAATGGAATCTGAGCCAAATTTGGCACACATTGTGCAAGGGGTGGGGCATGCATCAATAAGCTATTTTGTTCTGGGACCCACCCATTGCTTCTATCGATTTATTGATTTTTTGCCCTTTTGCTTGGAAAGTTCTCTATGTTCGCACAAAAAGGATAGAATATTAATGGGCCAGTAATAAGCCATTTTATTCAGGAACACAGATTGCTCCTATCGATCTCTTGGTTTTTTTTGCACTTTGCGTGATATCCGTTGCTTAGAATGTTGATTCAAAACTGACAAAGCCAAAGTTATGTTCTCACTTCTTCCTTCTGCGCAGCTTATAAATCAAAGTAATCTATGCAGAATTGCAATTTTTCACATCTCCGCATTATAGAGTGAAACGAAAGATTTCCAAGGCAGCGAAGCTGCTGGGTACCAGCCGAATCTGCCGCGTAGCGGCAGAAAGCGACTGGTCTAACGATGTTACGGTATTTTAAAGTGCGGTTCATAATTATACGAACACCCAAGATTTTGTAAGTTTTCGGACTTTTTGGGAGAAACTCAAAAAGCCGTTGGTACCACGCGATAAAACACAGCCGAAAACGGTCTATGATTCATAAGAATGGAAATCGATATCAATTGTAGGAGTGTTTTTGCGCCTAATGCGAATTTTTAGCGGTTCATAATTATACGAACACCCCAAACAAAGGTCCGTTTTTCATTCAAGATTGCAATCGTTTGAGTCCAAATTTTTTGAAGAGTTACAGTAACAAAGTCCGACATATGCTAAACACTGAACTCAGTGCAGTTCAAAACGAGGACCGTTACTTTTTTCAGAAGACTCTAAATGCTTTTGGAGTGATTGGGCTCCAGAAACATCCATTCATTTGTGGTTTACGCGCTCTAATTAGCTTCTACCAAAGCTATGAGATAAAATAAGCTTTTTTGATAGATATTTTGTTTGACGCTTGGAAAATCTTTGTGTTTTCGTGACGTTTTTCAACCAAGTTCCAACCTTAGCACAGAGTTTGCACGATTTCGAGCCTCAAAACTCAGCTTCTCTCTTGCGCAAAAATCTGATACGAAGCAGCTGCATTGCTTGCATGATGATACTTCTGTAACAAAGTTTTTGGATTTTGTCTAGAACTGATCTTGCGGCTGTGGAGCTACAAACCAAATAAAGGTGTGATTCCAATAGTAAAAACAGTCTTTCTAGTGAAATAACTTTTGCGTTACCAAAACAAACGCTCAACGCTGCTGATTTTTTTAGCCAAATATAAAGTCTTGTAAACTTCTACATACTGTATGCTTACTTCATTGTACGGCTTCAGAAGCTGAGTTTTGAGCCTCGAAATCGTGCTAACTCTGTGGTAAGGTTGGAACTTGGTTGAAAAACGGCACGAAAACGCAAAGATATTTCAAGCGTTAAACAAATTACCTATCGCAAGAGCCTATTTCATCTCAGAGGTTTGGTAGAAGCTAAATAGAGCGCGTAAACCACAGAAGAACGGATGTTGTTGGAGCGCAATCACTCCAAAAGCATTTAGCCCCTTTTTAAAAAAGTAACGGTCCTCTTTTTGAACTGCGCTGGGTCCAATGTGTAGCAGATATGTCAGACTTTATTACTTTAACTCTACAAAAAATTTGGACTCAAACGATTGCAATCTTGAATGAAAAATGGACCTTTGTTTGAGGTGTTCGTATAATTATGAACCGCTAAAAATTCGCATTAGCCGCAAAAACACTCCTACAGTTGACATCAATTTCCATTCTTATGGATCATATACCGTTTTCGACTGTGCTCTATCGCGTGGTACCAACGACTTTTTGAGTTTCTAACAAAAAGTCCAAAAACTTACAAAATTTTGGGTGTTCGTATAATTATGAACCGCACTTTAGCCTAATCTGTTGAAAATTTATAGCGCTTTAAATGACCGCACTTAAAACCAGATTTTCGTTGCATTCACATTTCTGGTCAGAAATTGAGCGCAAATGAAGGCGCTTTTTCGAAAATTTAACCATTATATGTAATAAGGATTGTCGGTATTATGCACGCTTAACCATATTTTTTGAAATTATCGAAACTGAGATATCGGCGCCTTAACATGGGTAATGGCTGTGGTCATTCTATGGCCTTCTATCCTATGGCTCATGGCTTTCTTTTGAAGAATTGCTAAAGCTTGCTCATTTCTGTAGGCGTGAGTATAGGGCATCCTGTTGACAGTTTTCGCAAAAACATTTAGCTTTTCAGTACAGAAAGAAAATTCTATAGTTCGGACTTTTGAGGCTCACAGAAAAAATGCTGTTGTAGTTGATATTTTTGTACTTCAAATTTTCCTTTTCGCCAATTTTTTCCCAAGCCCTTACCATGTTTGTATTGCTGACCTGCTGCTACAAGATAGGCTACTTATAAATTATGTTTACAAAATGCGAAGGAATTATGATCTGTAAAAAACGAGACTCCAGAAAAAAGGTTTTTTCAGTCCATATTTTTCTCATATGAGATATGAGTACAGGTTAATGTGCGCTGTATTGCGAAAGGTTTGCTGCATGTGATGGTCTTAACCACATTTTAAAGTAGATTTCATAGAAAGTATAGCAAGTTAAAGACACCGTCCAGCCAAAATCTCGAATTCAATGTTTTTGTCGCCTTCAGGCCTTCTGAAAGCCCTAATTCCGAATATGGCTCGAAAATTCGCGAAACCCCCAAAAGTCCCTGTTTCGAGAACCCTCTGCAACAAGCCCAGGCGAGATAAAGCATGCAAGTGGGCGGGGCAACCATGGTCGCCCCGCCTACTTTGCTACGCTCCAGAAGCAATCTTTTGCGGCGAAGCTTGGGGGTTTGGCTAGTGTGGGGGCCCACACTAGTATGCCATCATAATCTCGCCAACCTCCGTTTTGGGTGGACGGTGCCTTTGAAGTGAACATTTGAAAAACGCTCATTATTTTTGCATCAACTCATTATTCAGCATTAAACATTTAGCTAAGTCGAAACACATGAAGAAATATTTGAGAGAGATTTTGGTGTTTTGAGTCCTAAGAAATATGGAAAATACGAGGCTTCAGTGCGTGGTAAATGTGTTGTGCCTTTCGAAGCTACAATATCAGAGAAAATGTTAGAGGAAATTCTATCAGAAAATCTCACCTTTACAATGAGGGTACGGAATCCTACAATGATAATGCACTGAAGAATTATAGTGATCAAAACGTAAATATAGAACGATGGTGGAGTGGTTGGATTTGCAAGTTCTAAAGTAGTGAGGAATAGGATATTATAAAAGCCAAAAGCTAACAAACTGCATCAAAACCGAAAAGAAATATCCTACGCCATTCCTCTTCAACTTCTTCCTCAGCGACTTTCAATCTGCGTTCGTAATTTTCAAGTTCCCTTTGCGCTTCCATCAATGCCTCTTCTTCGTGCTTTAGTCGGCGTTCTGTTCTGTTTTGTTCTTGTAGAGTCTCCTCCAAGAGCCTTGTGCTATCATCTAACTCATCGAACTCCTTTTCTTCTTGCTTACTTCGTTCTTCATTGTCGGCGCCAGTATATGTTAGTGTGGGAGATAAAGTTTCTATGACAAATTTGATTGCAGTTGATCGCGGTCCTTTGTTCCACGGTATGATTTCAAACCAAAACAGCCGTTTTCAGATTCTGTTTAAAAGCATGCGACCCACCTCATGTAAGCCTGGTACCAGGTTATCAACTTTAACAAAATTCCTTCTATCGTTTTGCACTTCCTCATTGTCGAGGTAGACCTCAAAGAGTTATTCTGGCAACTTTGTATGGGAATCCATCAAATTTAAGCAGATTTGACTGAACACAATGTTTTCTGCTTGAAAAACTTCGCCATTTCCATTGGCTTGTTCATCACAAACAATATAAGAAACCAGCTTTTGTTCCCCAACACCGGTTCAAAATGAAATACATATTTTTTGATTATTTACCTATTTAAGTATATTGGCACAAGGTTTGTCATATCTATCACAGAACAATCAACGAAAGCACTTAGGAACATATAAAGTACCAAAGAAAACAAAGAAACACCCAATGAGTCAGCCCAAGCCCAGCTCTCGAACCTCCTAATAATAAAAAAGGATTAAGCTTGTTTGAACCATATATAAAATGATATCATTGGTGTAGAGGCGCAATGAACTCGCCCCATGACTGCCTGCAAAAAAAGGCTCTTTGATTATTCAGCATAAGCCACCGTATATGGGGAAGGATGTATTGGCAAATCCCGCCCAACCAATTTATGGAGTGAGAAACTCCGAGATAAGAGTTCGCACAATGCAAAGTTGATCGGGCTTAAAGGCAGTGGCTCGGCAAAACTGAACATTCTCGGAATCCCGATATCATATGTTGTTTACATCCCAAATATGAAACAGAGCAAGTCCAAGCGCACAGCATGTTGCGCTTGCCAAGAAAACTCCTGTGAACCCGTGCACGCAAGCCATTCTTATATGCGCTCGGACGAGCTCCCGATTTCCCTTCCACCTTCGGGGACGGCATAATGTCGTAAACACAAGGATCCCGCAACGACTCCGCGTCTCTACCCTTGACGAAAATGTTCCACTCCTCTAAATTCAAAATGACGGGCCTTGGGAATACTGGTTTTGTCGTGCTCTATAAGGTTAATTTTCGGGATCAGCGGTTCGGAAAACCTTAGGTAAGCAAGATTAGTTTGAGGTTTAGTAGTGCCACTGGTCTTGACAAGCTTTTCCCAACAACGAAAGGGGTGAACCGGATCCAAACCATCGTACGGAAGAAGAATAAGTATGTGTACCAACATCAGACGACTTAAAGGCAGTGGGTCGGCAGAATGAGACCCGTGGCAAAACAAGGCCACAGGGTAGGAGCCCCATAATGGAACTTATGTGCCAAAGTTCAATTTTTCTCTGCCATTTCTAACACCCGAAATTTCAAAGCGAAAGCAGCGCTCATCTCCTGTCCTCTCCGAACCCGCCCACCCCATGGACGAGTGACTTCCACGGTCAGAGCGCGCAGCCGCAATGCTATGGGTAGAGGAACGAACGCCTCAATTCGGCACCGTCGCCGCGGACTGCTGGCCCATCCGTCCTACTGTTGTGCATCGTGTTAGGACCAGTGGTCCGCGGAGGCGGTGTCTAATTGAGGCGTTCGTTCCTCCACCCCAATGCTATAAGCATGAGGTCCCGCAACGATGTCCAGTCTGACACCACACCATCAAATCCTGATTCCCATTGTGATCAATTGAATTTGATCAAACCGAACTGCAGAATGTTCTATCTTGACCCAAGTGATGTAAGGCTCAATGAAATATTGAAAGATAAAAATACTATACCACATATCCTTCTGAAATCGAGTGTCCAGCTGGAGGCAGCCAAACGATTTTTATCGATTTACTGCTTAGCTGAAACAATTTTTCTTCGTTAAAGTCACTTGATCTAATGCTTTTTAAATACTATGTAAGATCGACAGAATGCTGCTCTGTATGGGAAGCGTTTTCCGTCGAGCTCTTACTCAGACAGTCGAGGGGATACCTCCGGCGGGCAAATGGCGCGAGTCTGCCACTTCGCGCTCTGAAGCGCTCTGGAACCCTGCCATTTCACGCATTTTGGTGCTCCGGGGCTCTCCCAAAAGTGGCGCACCTCCGGAGCAGAGATTTGCGCGTTCCGGGAAGGGTCCCATTCGTTCACCGTGACGTCACCGTGACGTCACGTTGACGTCACAAGCAGGCGAATGGGACTCCTCTCCAGGACGTGCAAATCTCTGCTCCGGAGATCCGTCACTTTTGGAAGAGCCCCGGAGCAGCAAATTGCGTGAAATGGCAGGGCACCGGAGCGCTCCAGTGCGCGAAGTGGCAGAGCCGCGCCATTTGCCCGCCGGAGGTATCCCTTCGACTGCCCGAATACAGAATTCTCGTAGCATATTGTATATACAGGACGGAAATGAAATCACATCTTGCGAACGTTGAGATTTATGTCGAAGAGTGATTGCTGACGATTTATAGTTTACTTAAAGGTTTTGTGGACAAGCGATGACGTACGGGTGCATGAGAATGTCAGTCAGTCGGTTACGAAAACCTTTGTAAAGTTTAAGGTATATATGCAATACTGAAAAAGTGTTTAGACCAGTAAGTTACCTACAGCTGTCATACAAATTATCTCAAAGTATCGGCAGAAAGGGAGGCGGAGGCAACAAAGTTGTCATGAAAGCAGCCATGACTACAGCAAGTTTGGTATGAGTCTATGAGCTATGTGTGGCCTGAAAGGCAATACGTGTCGAGAATTGAAAAAAAAAACCTAGAAGTTAAAATTTTTAAGGCCGCAAAAAGAGAATTGTACTGCGATAAACTATGATCCTTTTCTAATCTTGGCGTTGGAGTGGAAAGGAATGCTGAACTGTGACGTATGCCGCGTGTATACTCTGGAAGGATCTCTCAAACTGTGCAGTTAGCAAGATAGCTTCATCGTCGTTGGATGACTGGCAAAAAGAGAAAGCCAGATCCACCGTCGTCTGGCAAGGACTCGCCTACGGTAGGTAGTAAGATATATGACGCGGATAGGCTCCATCCCGCGCGGACAGCTAGTACAAGTCTGCAATGTCTGTAGTGTGTGTGGCTGTGTACTCTCTTGCAGATGTCCGCGAAAGACTACCCATTTTGCCAACATACGGTTCTCTACCCGCTAATAGGGCTTCTCAAGCTATGAAGGAGGTCGAATTTCGGGTGTTCTGAGGATGCCCAGTTAAGAAAGGACCAGGCCAGATCCCCTACCGTCTGCTCTTCCGATCTAGTTTTCCACTCCACATTCTGGGGTTAGCGATCGCTCGGTGGAAACTAAGAGTAGGCCTAGTGAGTTTGCTTTTTTAGGGAAAATACTTTGATACTCCATCAGCTAGAAGAAGAGAAAGAAACCCCGAGCATCGGATCGCGCCTACGGTGTCGGGTAGTAGCAAGAACAATGTCGTGCTCAGGGCGCCTTTTGGATCGGACAAAAACGACACGTTTGCCCGGACACATACCATGAGATTGCCTCATGCTCTGTACCTAAAAACTCAGGACAGTGACCACAAGCGCCGACCTACACGCTCCTCTCAACGCTGCAGAGCACATCGGGTACCATGCCATCGCTCTGCAGGAAGTCAGGAAGAAAGACGTGCGACAGATGAGCGATGTGACTCGCCATTCGTGGTGAGGAAACGTCTCCATCACGAAGCGGAGGCTTTGAGTTTGTACTAATCGTGAATCTTGGCGATTCGCATGAGATCTTTCATCTCGATTAGCCATCTGCGATTACACCTCCACGTTAGAAAACGCGAGCATCATCAATCGATATTCCTTAACATCAGCAACTGACGAATTCGAGCTAGATGCTTGTAGTATAAGAATATAGGATTAGTAATTTTGGATATGGGCTTCTGAACGAAAACGGCAACCGTCTCGTTGCCGTTGAACTTCTCTCCGCCGCAAGACTTCTTCATGGAAACTCCGTCTTCATGAAGAAAGAACATCGCCGGTGGACATGGGAATGGCTTAACGGAACACTCACGCGGAGATCGACCACATTCTACCAACCGAAGGTGGAGCTTGCTCGATGTCTCAGTAGTTTCAGCCTTCTGCGATGGCCCCATCACCGTTTCCTTCGCGCGAAGATACGATTCAGTAAAAAGGTTCTATCACAGTGTCCAAGAAAGATGGAAGTCATTTATGACGGTAGCAGGCTGTTAGAGCTCATATCAAGCTGTGACATGCCCATCGACGAGGACCCAACGTACTACCACGGCCGGTTTCCGAAAATATTGCGAGCGTGCGGAGAGACTGCCTCAGTGGCTTTCGAAAAGAAATTGGATTGTACAGGGTGCGGCAAAAGTCTGGGAGCCTAGTACTTTTTCATATAAAATGGGAAGGGAAGCACCTAGAAACGAGAAATTTGGCGCACACATAATTCGAACCATTGCAGATACAGCTCAGTTCTTGAATTTCGAAATTGCCTCTCTTGGCTTCCACGCAGCCCTACAAAATCTTGGAAAGTACACCTGTCATGGCACGCAGGTAGTCGTAATGGAATTCGCCCCACGCCTCCACAATAACTGCTTCTTTTACCATGACAAATGTGCAGCACGATAGAGCAAGCTTTTATCTACAATATGCTTCCAAAAGAATTTTTTGCATTTCTTAGGAATAAAAAAATTGGATTTTCAATTAGAAGCATGTGTACGTCGCATACCGGAATTTTGGCTACAATTGCGCGAACAAAAACTTAAAATTTTCGTTTAGAAAGTATAAAAAGTGTTCCCATGGCCGAATTTCAATATATTCTAATTTAGAAGACGTATGCAAAAAATACAGCCTTGGTTCCAGTGCCTGTTGAGCATTCTATAGCTTTTAAATTTGTTCTGAAGACGGATTTCCACTGGCACGTAGGTAACATTCGCAAACTTTTATTTTCCGTTTATGCAAGAACAGCTCCTGGCAAAAGCAAAACTAGGATACAATATCGCAAAGCCTCTTCTATGTTGTGTGCATCGAAGTTTTGTAAAATATTAACAGCATCTCTAGCTACAGCAAAAATTGTTAATACTAAAAATTCTGGTTTTTTCGCTTTGCAAAAGTACTAATTTGGTAATTTCCATTCATACAAAAACATGAGGCAGCCATATCCATCAAATAAAGTGTATTTTGTAGAGGATGACCGCAGCATCATGTGGCATAAAATTGAAATCAAAACCACCAGTACCTTTGTAATTGCATTACCGCAAAGTTAGGCTCCCAGACTTTTGCCGCACCCTGTATTTCGAATACCACCAAGGAATTGGATAAAGAGAACTTTTGAGACAAGATCCAAATGCAACCTATATCGAGCGACTGATAGCCAACGCCATTGCAAAACACTGTAGAAAGATCTCAGGAAGTACAGGCAATCCAAGATACTGGGGAAGCGCCAAAGCGACCTTTGCTCATGTACCGCTGGCTGCACTATCGAACGAAGACGGGATCAGACTTCTTTCTGATACAAGATGGAATCTATCACAAAGTACCTCTACATCCCTCTTCCGCTCATCAACACCTGCGTCGATAGCCGTCATTACCACTAGAAACTATCACCACGGATTCTACCTGCTGAAGTGCCCAAGCGATTTAGACAAAGAAGACATCCACGGTTCCAGGACCAGACCATCTTTCCGTCGAGTTTCTGCGAGCCGTAGGGCAATGTCTACAAGAGATTCTCACGTCGCACCTAACATCATACCTACAGAAGAAAAGGATTCCCGACCAGTGGAGAACTTCAGAAACCGTCCTTCTCTTCAAGAAGGGCGCAAGGTAGGATTTTTGACTATTGTCAAATATGCGTGCTGAGTGCGTTGTATTAGCTTTTCACGAAGACTATCCTTGCTCACATATTTAGAACACCGGAGGAAGCCCGGTCCCACATCCAGACAGTTTGAGGATGAAAGTTTGTCGCGAGTAACGATTGCCTGTCGTCCTTCATTCATCATAAGAAAGTCTTTGAAGCGTTGAAACCAACGCCATCCTGTCAGCCTAGTTCATCAAGGAGTGGACCCAGTTTACTGCGAAGACGTTATTGCGACTGTTACAAGGACTGTACAACGACGATGCAACTGTATCATTGCCCCTCCCCTGACCATCCCAATTGGGAAAGGGGTCCGACAAGGCGACACCATCTCACCGAAGCTGTACACAGCGCAATGGATGATAACGTTTTTTCAGGACTGAAGGAGAGAGGCATACAAGTTGGTGAGAGATTCCTGCCGAACCTTCGTTATGCGATGACATCGTTCCCTTTTCAAGCAGTATCATGAAGCAGAGATGAAGGAACTAGATGAAGTAGGGAAGAAAATCGGATTGCAAATAAACTGGATAAAGGGTAAGTTTATGAGAACTGCCTTTCCGAATATGCGGAAATGGAACTGGAAACCCTCCTATTACGTGAGTTGACGTCTTTTTACGCGTTTGGGCGTTGTATGATTATGGAGGGAAGTTAAGGAGGAGAAGAAGAGCACCAGGGCCGCCTTCGGGGCTCTGAAAGAAGTCAGTCATTGACCAATGGCTCGGAGCTTCGTGCCTACCTGTATGACTCAATCGTTCCCTTTTTTTCGGCAGTCTGTTCGCAGCTGACAAGGAGAGGATACTTAGTCGAAAGCACCAATCCAGATGAGACACATATCATCTTATAGAGCTTAAAACGCTGATTTCAAATCGTTCATGAGGGGGTGTTTCCCTTTGGGGTTGAGGCGCCCTCCAGCAGGTCTCCCCTTACCCTACTGGTACCAACTGGTAGCAACTGGCTAGTGGTAAGTAATTTGAATGAAGATTACATTAAGGATTATAATACTCGTTTACTTTGGCTTTTTAACACTTCTAATTTCAATTAGCATCAATATCATCTGAAATTTCAAGCTTTAGGGCTCTAGAGCCATTTAAAAGCTCAAGAATTGCGAGAAAGTTGCATGCGAAGGGGATCAAACCTTGACACTCTCTTTATCAAGCAAGGCACTTACCAGTAGGCCACTTGCCACCAGTTGGTACTCCTCTACATGCTTGCCACAGTGCTCATAAATAAGGGGAGACCTGCTGGAGGTCGCCTCAACCCCGAAGTGAAACACCCCTCATAACTCCTTCTACAAAACCGCTCCGCTGCTAAAAACTACAGGTTTGGAATCAGCGTTTCAAACGCTTTAAGATGATATGTGTTTCATCTGGATTGGTGCTTTCGACTAAGTATCCTCTCCTTGTGAGATCTGGACCGACATCTTATCCACGTCGGAAGCTCTACGGAGCACCCACAAAGCACTTGAGTCTTTTAAAAAGACCCGGCATAAGCAACGTCTTGCCGGACTCAGCAGTAGGGGTATGGGAAGAATATCTCCTCTTTGTAACCAGGCGAAATACGATGCGGAAGCATCGTATTTCGCCTGGTTACAAAGAGGATGGGCCGGTCACTAATGAGAACAGCGACGACATTGGACGCCGAGAACATCTGAGTGGCTTCCTCACGAAGCAAACGCCCCGAAGAAAACCACCAAAGAGATGGGTAGACGTGTTCGTGGAACGGATGGACCAGCTGAAAGATCAGCTGAATGCGATTTTCATTCCTGGACCACGTGGACGCAGCCGACGACCAAAAAAATTATGGATGTCTGGGGCGAGAACAAACTGGACTTCTAAACTCGGGGAAGTTGATATTGAAGTGGAATTTGACCCTCTTCTAGCGCAACTTTTTCTTGAAAAAAAGGAGATTGACACGATCGAGGTCGCACTTAGCCTTCGCACTTACCTCACACTTACTTCTCTCTCAAGCCACGTAATAAGTCACATTCTCCTTCAGGCTGAGAGAGACGGAGGAGCGGGCCATATACGGACCTTTTCATATGAATGCTCCAAGATTCTCTTGACGTTTTGGTATACTAAAAAAATATTTTTGTAAGGCACAGAATTAAATACAATCAAGTTATTTGATCGTATCTAATAATTTTTGATTCTGATTTTTGAGCAAAATTTGGATACTTTTAGAGGACAAATTTGGCCATTCTTACGTCCAGACCCCTCGCAGATCGACTGGAGGCAGCTGGGCTTTGTTTTTGGGACAAAAAGCAAAAGGGATATCGTAGAACATGCTATGCAGTATACTTTGGACCGAATCGAATGATTATTCGATTATTCGAATAAATCATTCGAAGGCGAATGATTCGAAGATTCCTATATTCGAAAATCTGAGATTTCGAATAATATTCGACAGTCGAACATTCGAAAATTTTCATTTTCAAATATTATTCGAAAGTCGAATATTCGGAATTCTCAACTTTCGAATATTATTCGATAGTCGAATATTCGATGGTCATTAATTCGAACATTCGGTGTCCATGGAATATTCGAATATTCGATGAGCACCGAATATTCGAAAATTCGATAAGAATTGAATATTCGAAAATTCGAAGCATCGAATATTTGGAAATTCGATATCCACAACATATACGGGGTGTCCCAAGGGTATGTACAAACTGTTTATCGCTAATACCTCTCACAAAGTCTTTTGCCAACCTTTAAGTAACATCCTGTAGGGATGGCTTCAGCTTACAGATACAGCAGAAAGCAAATCACCTATGTTTTCTTGTTGTGTTATCACGGTATGAACTTAGCATATAAAGCAACTGCGAAATGAGACATCCAAAAGAGTTCCCCCAACAAAAAAGAGATTTCAATTCTATGTAGCAGGATTTTACGTATGTTTAACTACGCACGGCCTTTCAAGCCTTTTAAATGTGCATTCTCTTTTTTGAAAAGCGTTGGAAAACACCTGTTATGGCGTACCCGGCATAAGTTGCAAAAGGCGTTACGGTTGAGTGCAAATTCTTTATATAGTGAGTGTCTTTAGAAGCCTAGGGTAAGATCGGCCTTTTTATTTCTCATTCTTGGGCAAACGGCTCTTGATATCTCAAAACCCTCCTCAGTTTTCTTACGGTAATTTGCAACAGTGAAAAGCGATCGATACGCTTCATACTGTGGGTCTAGGTTGATGTCAGCCCACAGATCCACATACTGTTGGGACCCCTGTATGTCAGTCCACAACTCTCAATGGGGATAAATAATCTCCTTTGATTTTTGAAATTCCTTCACAACCGTCACGTACGCTTTTAAGTTCTCAAAGGCAGCGTCCCAAAAGATGGGTCCGGGAGAATGTGGCGATGTTAAATTGGACCCCTTACCTAAGCGGTGACGAAGTTCGGAGCGAAAAAGAGAGTCTGGTAAGCTCGAAAATTGCTACCAAAGTGGCCCGTCTTCCGGCAGGCCCGAATGCCGCCCGTACAGCGAATTCGAATTGCAAGGCCAGAGAACACATAGCGCACACAGCCACGAGTGCTGGGTCCCGCAACGACTCTGCGTCTCTACCCTGCATGCATCTCGTACTCACGAGCCTACCGTAAGATCCGGGCCACTTACGGGGCAAATTTTAGGCCTGGTAGCCCCCTTTTAGCCCCCTTTTTCGCTCCGAACATCAGTCATCGCTTAGGTGGGGGGGGGGGGACTACTTTAACATCGCCACAATCCGGCACCCATCTTCTTGACGGGGCTGCAATTGAACCGTTTTTTCGTTGTAAATTGAACCATAAAAATGTTTATACCTGAAAAAATTTATTCTGAGATGTTTTGGTCTCTCACAGGTAGTCTCACTGACATAATTTATTCGCATAGTACTCGAAAATCTAATGATACTCGAAAATCGGATATTATTCGAGAACCGAATAATATTCGAAATCCGAATATCGAATGGTATTCGATATTCGAATATTATTCGATTCGAAAACTTCCATTTTCGAATAATATTCGATAGTCGAATATTCGAGAATTTCGATTTTCGAATATTATTCGATATTCGAATATTCGAGAATTTCGATTTTCGAATATTATTCGATATTTGAATATTCGAAAAAAATTTCGAATTTCCCAAAGTATACTATGCAGGCACACGACCAACAAACGAACACAGGTTTAGGTAACAAGTTTCTATACGATCTATTACGCAGCTGAGCCTTGGGCCAACTGTAATTACGTCGAAAGCTTTACAGACCCACAAAGCGCTCGAGCGCAGTTTTCTGAAGATGACCGACACAAGTAACATCTAGTCGGACTTCCAGTACGGATACGAGAAGAATGTGCCGTCTTCGTGACCCAGCGGATACGTTGCGAAAGCGAACTACCGATGGGCCGGTCACATCATGAGAAGAGCAGACGACAGATGGACACTAATAACATCTGAGTGGATTCCTCGCGAAGCCAAACGTCCCCGAGGAAGACCACCAACGAGATGGGCAGACGTGTTCGCGGAACGGATGGACCAGCTGAGAAATCAGCTGGATAATACAATTTCCGCCCCTGGAACTCGTGGATGCAGCCGCCGACGACAACCAAGAAGATTGTGGATGTCCGAAGCGAGGGACAGGGATCATTGGAAACTTCTGTACATACTGAGGCCCGCACGTCACGTGAGGACGGGCCATCTAAGTACCTAAGTAAGTAAGTTATTTTATGATTCACATGCTCTATCGCGTCTTGCAAAAAGCGCGTGCGATTTGAATGCAAGGCTAAAATAAACCCATGCTTGTTTACTAACAAAACCCAATGATGTGACGCGAAATTTGATTTGCAGGCATAGCGTATTAGTAGCAGAAGAATTATGTACAACGTTTTAGAAACTTATGTGAAGTGACACCTTTCCCAAATTATTCCTTACAGGCGGACACCATACGAACTGAGACGTATGCAGTATATTTTTGTAAGTTCACTTAAGTTTGAGTTTTTCTATCCTTCCCGATCAAAAATATTCGCAAGCAAAAAGACACTTTCATATCGTTGCCTTTCGTCCCGCATTGTAAAATATCGCGCTTCCCAATACTTTTGTGCGTCTGCAACATTCTGCTTCCCTCTTGTTTTTTTCTCATTTCTAGGCGAGTCCTTATAGCACATGTAAAATGACCGAGAAATCGATGTTTCCGATAAAAGTCAAGGAAGACTTAGTAGGATTTTCAAAAGTCAAGGTTATTTTGTTTTCAGAAACCCTAGAAACCGACTCGTGCCGGGCCGCACCTTGCAATCGCTTATCGTTTAGAAACTCACTCACCCACAAAATATTTGCAGAAATGTACAGTTTTCGAACCAGTTTACATCGGCGCATTCATCTTACATTATAAATTGCCACGGCCCCCAGTATTTTCCCTTGTTGGCGCAAAGAAATTTGTTTTTGAGAAAATCAGTCAAATCGATGTTCGAATGCATTTGCACTACGCCTTGATTGGGGAAAAATGTTCCTTTACAACACTTTTTAACCGATTACGCTGCTAGTTCTGATAGTGTGAATGCACTTGTTATGCTAAATTAGAGACCTAGTTACTCTTCAGCTAAGGGGACACGCTAAAATTGTTACAAGTTCAGAACATGTGAATGTAGTGCTTCAACTTTACAACCGTAGTGTTGTAGATACAATGCTTGACGAAGTCCACAGACTTGAAGAAAAATGATTTGTTGCATTCAGTGAAAGCTTCCCTGTTCTATTTCTCCTCAACTTTCTTGCTGCGAAAGATACAGAACTGACCTCTAAGATTTTTATTTGATTGATTGGATTTAGTGTAAACATCTCAATGTTGCTGGACTCACTTAGCAGCGTTTTTTCTTTCTTAGACAGGCAATCAGCAGTCACGTGGTAATCACCTGAATGTCTGACTTGAGTATTGTTTAGACGTATATTCGAGCCGGACGAGACGTGCATTTTGAAAACCTCGTACTTCTATACTACTGTTTTTTTTTAAATCTATGCTATCTTATTAAAGCTGCTTGTTTAGACATTCGATAAAGCTAAGTCTTCGTGGAATGCGTTTAATGTTGGAAGCTCGTTTTTGAAAAAGTCCGCTATACCTTCAAAAGATTGATCCACATAACGGGTCCCCAAATATGGGGGCTTTGCGTGATTGCAAGAATCGAGGTTTGCGTTCACTGCACAAGAGGATGCCATAAGGCCTCAAACCACTTGAACAATCCCGCGTTCTTCAAAAGCGTCCCAGGGTGGTTGGAAGCTAACATCTAATGCAGAAAAGTTTGAAGAAGAATGACTACTAAGAAAGTTCAATGTGCGTGCAATGTTCGCAAATTCACCGACTCTCGCGATCATACAGAGCCTTATAAGTTGTTTTTTGAAAGAGTCAACTTACTGAGATGCCGTAAGTGGTTTACTTATTGTCGAGGTATTCATGCTATTATGATTCTATGTCATTCAAGAATTATTAGATGGGAAGCATGTAACTCACTGTTGACATCTAGTACACCTGCGATTGACAGACTTCTGCATTTTGGCTTGTTCTGTATTACATGAGGATTCTCCTCAATAAATGTCCTGTCATGTGAGAGTATTTCATAGGCAACCTGCTTCTTTCTATGTCCTCCAGCAACGCGAATCTGTTGGAGCGTAATATGACTACCAATTTCATACTGTATGCTTTATTAACCTTGACCGCTTCTACATCGCTACAGTAATTTACATCAAGCGAAAAGGTCTCCTTTAGCGTCCATTCGACATTTTCAATCTTCGTAGCATTGACTAAAAATGGGTGAACACCTGACATTATTCAACGACATGCATGTGACTTTGTCTGAATAAATCGTCAAAGCTTATACAATTAGTTTGCTTTGTTTTTACGTTGATTACTTCCACCACTTCACAACCCATGTGAATTCTTAACTGCACGCCAACGAGAATAAGAAAGCTTTACCGCAGTGATCTGTTTCTATCTTTATCATTCCATACCATTTCTCTTGAATTGCGTACCCAAAAATGGTTCCACGATAAAAATCCTTCTCTGTCTCTATCTGCAAATCAAGTAGATTGCAGCAAAATAACTTCTGCCTAGCAACACAACTCAAAGAGGTTCATTCAATGATAGCTTTACCCTCTTCCAAGTCCATTCTCCCCTAAATCGCGTTGCCGTCCAGACGGCTTCCTTCCCGTCGCTTGTGAAAAAACTGGAACAAACAATCTAAGATTTTTTATCGCTAAAAAGGCAGCCAATGGTCGTATTTATCAACATACTTGAGGTAAAATATACTTTGGGAGCTCACACCCGTATTCAAATTTGAGCTCAATTGATGGCTTGAACCTCAAGGTTTGTTGAATACGGCCACGGAACCTCTCAGTTTTCTGCTGTACCATGAGTAATAAATTGGACCTTTCATTAGAAAGATAATGCAATGACAGTAACAGTATGTTTTTTTTACTAGAAGCTCTGAATTGAGTATGTGCTGCTAAACCTTCACTTTTCTCCTCAGACTCACCACGAGTCGATTAAGCACTAGCATTATTCTTTATTGACTAACTAGCTAGCACCTCGGGCTTAACCGGGCGGGGGTCTCAGTCGGTCCATACCAGTGCGACCTATTAGGCCCGTATGCACGTATATCCCCGCGGGGAGGGGAGGGATCTGAGAGGGGAAGCGTCATATCTCGCTAGTCTATGTATCTTTCTTCTTCTTTCTCTGTCTTGGTTTTGAAGGTACTTGTGATAATACTTGTGCATAACGAATGCCAGGTTACTGCCATACAAGATTAGATATTCACTACTTCGTCTGATCCCCTGGAGATCCCCAGGGGATCACCTCACATTTTCAAAGTTATTTATCTTTCTGAAAACTTGATGAAAATGTTCTAAAATTGTACTGTGGATATACTACAGCACTGCTAAACATACTTATGTTAGAAATGAGTGAAATCTCAAGATATCAAAATCTTCGATGAACCGCTGCTCGCGAGCCAGGGATTATCGAAAAAATCAAAATCTTTAGATTCATTTCTTCTGTCGAAAACATGCTCAGCAGTATCGTAGTATACCCTCAGTACAATTTTACAGCGTTTTCATTCATTTTTCAGGAAGATAAACGACTTTGAAAATGTGAGATGATCCCCTGGAGATCCCCAGGGGTTCGGAAGAAATAGTGAATATTTAATCTTTATAGCAGTAACCTGGCATCTATTATGCGCAGGTACAAGGGTATGAGAACCCTCATAAGCACGTAGAGAAGAAAGAAGAAAGATATCTAGAGCAGAGAGATATGGCGCTTACCCTCTCAGATCCCCTCCCCTCCCCGCGGGGAAGTACGTGCATACGGGCCTTAGAATAGACTTACCTGCTACATAACTTCTCTTGAGTCACTGCACATTTTCCTTTTGGGGACGAGTGGCGTAGTAGTATGAGGTGCCGCTATGACCAGAATGGACCGTTCGATTCCCATCCCTGGGCCAACCAAGCCCTCTACCTCTGGGGCCGGTAAATTGGTACCAGAGCAATCTGGGAGGATAAAACGCTGACTTCATGATCAGCTGGCACCGCAAGTTTTTGTGAAGGTCTGTATGCATTCACTTGTCTCTACAACTATAAAGTAGAATGCGTTCGGAGCATACCCGCAGAGGGTATCGAAGACTCAAAATCTTTTATCCTTGATCCATTCTCCTCATCGTGAATTAAAACGAGTTTCACCGCTACTCTTACAATACTCTTACATGGCAGAAAAAATGCTCGCTCAACAAGCAATAAGCAATCATTTTTCTAAATGTAAGTGAATAATAAATCGATAGAACAACTCAGTCCGCAACAAGTAGTAGCCTATAATGATCTCCGGTGCCGAAAATGTATGTGTGCAAATTTTAACTCAATCACGCACAACGCCGTCTGTAGTTACATGCACGACATGTGCACAGACAGGCACACATCTGCTTGTTCCAAAACTGTTTTCGCTTTTTTCAAATAAACGCCACGTTCCGTGAAACAAAATTTTCTAGGACTTCTTGGCAGCATTCAATGCAGCATCTTATCCTCTTTCTAGTAATTATAGAATCGCTGCAGCATAGTCAATGAGCTTCACAATTACGAAAATATCCGACCCATACTTTTTGAGATGGTCAGGTTTCGAAATTTTTCTATACTTTTACTCCAACCCTCCAAAGAGTCCAAGTAACGCGATAGAGCAAATCCTACAGGATGTAAAACAATTTTTCTTTCCTTTCCATAGCTGTCATAATTCTTCAGTAAAATTGTAAGTGACGCTACCAAATTCCATTCTTGGTCAACTAAAACCTGGTAGAACATCAAAAGGAGAACAGCTCGTTTGCTATTCGATGCAGCTTTTTCTCCTCTTTCTAATGATAAAATCACCATGACTCAAGTTTTTGAACGCGCCCCAGGTTGTAAGTGGCGGTACGACGGTCTAGACCGCAGGTTCCACTGACTTAGCAGAACAACTGGTAAAATATAATGGTTTATCAGTAATATGAGAAACCACAGGAAGAAGCTGATATACAAATACAGAGAATAAGAGTAGTACAGAAGAGCTAATACGGAACAGTGAATAGGTGACTGTCGAGAAACTGTTGAGGAACCAACAAGGCACCTCAGAACCTATACACGAGATATGGTGTTTCGTACATCTCACGGTTTTGGTTCAAGACTAATAGTGTTACAAAAAACCTAGGCCGGGCGCCTGGAGGCTACACGTCCCCCCTTATCGTAAGTGGCGTCCCGACACTTAACAACTATTAACAACTATTAGGTTGTCCGGAAAATAATGTCGCCTGGCATCCTCCCGCAACAGAGTGACCACAAAAAACATCGAATGGGGAATCATTCGATAGAGCAAAGCAAGCTCTACAAGCTAGTTCACAAATCTCTGCGGAGATCTTGCTCTACCTGAAGTTCGAATCCAAAATGTAAAAAATTTCAGACGACCGAAAAATCGTATCTCCGTTCACAGACGTCTTAGGAATCTCCAGTTTGCACAGGCACGTACTTTCCACGCTAGACATTCAACTATATAGTTTGTGGTACTTTTCCATGGAAAGAGGTCAAAAGTGAGAATATGTCGCGTTTTCGGATTTTTGGAAACAGTTCGATTTTTCTCGAAAAGTAGCACTTGTCTAAGGCTGAAAATTCATGGTTATACTCCTAAAGGTTCATGCTACAGAATCACCCATGTGAGAGAAGCTCAGGATTGCTTTGGCTGAAATATGCCAAATTTCGTTTTCTCAATTTTTAGCTATGATAAAACCGCGAAAATCGCATACGAGTGTCTTGTATAGTGAGTCCAATCGTGAGCAAGTTAGGGGTTCTCAGGACTTCTCTGAACGGAGATACGATTTTTTCGTTCTTTTAGGTCTTGAGTGCCTTGTGAAATTTGGCTCCAAACTTTACGTAAATCAGACCTGGCGCGAACGTTCGAGCTTTATTTTGTAGAGCTTGCTCTGATCTATCGGTTGATATCTCACTCACTTACTTTCGTGCGCACGCTGCTGCGATATTGCATAATAAAACAAAAAGCGACATTATTTTCCGGACAACCTAATATTAATAACTGTTAAACTATTATCAGCTATTAAACTCAAAAACTACAACTATTAACATAACAACTAACGATTCTTGATTTTCTTCCTTGTCTTTTCTTGTGGTCGTTGTCCAGAAGGTCCTTGCCTGTGATCCTTGTCCATGCGTCTTTGTCCACGCGATCTTTGTCCATGCGATCCTTGTCCATGCTCCTTGTAAGCGATCTTCTTCCAGATTTCTGACACCACACCAAGTGTCCACTCCTTTCTGTTTGATTCCGCTGTGTCTTTTCTGTTGTACAACTAGTTCGGCAGGAATGTGCTCTGACATAGTTGACCATTTCAAGAAAATCCCAAAATCGCGAGGGTATCCAGTAATTCTGTGCACTTTTCCGTACCGCTTCGCATTGAAACTCTTCAGTCTTTTCACAACATTCTTGTTTGATGATGCGTTGGAATCAGCTTCATCTTGCTGTTCCATGCTTACCCGTTTGACATCGACGAATCTATTTTTTGGCTGTTGTTTCTTTTTCAGCTTGTGCATCTTCATAGCTTTCGTCGGTTGCTTCATATCGGCCAATGGTTCGTCCAAAATTCGGTCTTGATTCTTGGAATCGTGCTTCATCTTTCTGCGCTTTGTGCGCTTTGTTTCTACATTTCTTTCCTGGCCCTTAAAAAGTTTCCTTCCTACTTTTGGCTTCATCTTGTTCCCTCCAAGTATTCTATCAGTTCGATATCTTACTACATTCAAGGGATCTTTCACCGAGTTCCTGAGCAAATCGTTCTTGGTATCACTTCGAATCACTATGACACCAAAATTGCGTAGGACATTTGTCCCCAAGATCAGATCATTTACTAATGACCTGGTAACATATACCGGAATCTTCTTGGACTTGCCAAACAGTTCCGTAGGTGTCATGATTGCGTCCAAGATTTCTATTCTGTTCCCAGAAGCGTCGCGTATCGTAGCATTAGTACTACTCCTGAGATTCTCTCCACATAAGCATCTAAATCGACTCCAGCTTCTTTGGCCCTCGTGAACAGCTTTAATAATGCTATAGTTACCTTGGAGCCAGTGTCTATAAGTGCGTTTATTTCCATATTCATCACTTTTGCTGGCACAACTCCCTTCTTACCAACAAAGTCTTCAGCACTCTTCCTGGCTTCTGTGGTTGCGCATAAGCACCTATCAAGAGCAGTGGAGAACGAAGACGCCCTGTGTTCTTCATTTCTTCTTACGTTGTCCTTTGTGGCATTCTGCAGTGTGCAGTGTTTCGCTTTATGCCCTGATTTGCCACATTCAAAACGACGATTACTTTTCTCCTTGCCTTTCATGGTCAGTCCTTCTTTTCTTTCACCATGATCAGCCGATTCTGAATCAGACCACTGTTTGTTTGAAGCTTGATTGCCATAAAGCCTTTTGGTATGCATATCATTGACCTGCTTGACTTCCTTTCTATGCAGGTTTATTTCCAGCCTTAGCGCTGCTTAGGCTTAGGTTTAGCTGCTTCTTTCACTTTGTCATGAACGACACCTCGCGGGCTAGTCTCATTTGCTTCGGCTAAGATATAGCTACCTTCCCAGTTAGCTAACTGGGAATACAGAAGTTCCGTTTTCGGTGCCACCCCTATTTCATTCATTAGGGTAAGCTTGACTGC